GCCGCGCAGGTGGAGGTTCAACTCTCGTACTGAGAGGGACATGAGCTCACTGTCCGACAGGACGGGCACATTCTCGCCACATTCCTGCTTCACCTTGAAGAGGAAGGAGGAGGGGAGGAAACAGGAAGGGAGGACACATGTAGAAGGAAGAGAAGAAATACAAACGATAGTGTTAAAAAATGACTGATAGTGAGGGGATTAAAACTTATTTTCAACATTAAGGTTTTCCCTTTTATAAAAATATATAATAAAACTTTTATTTCATGTATTTTATCTTAGCTGGATTTCTAGCTGTGCGTTACCTTCAGGGCTTTGCTGTTTCTTTCTGTCGTCATGATCTGTCTTCCGTTTTTTTCCCCCCACCAAACACCAGTCAACACAGATACAGACACGCTGGAAGACCAAAAGCAAGACATAAGCACACACAAAAAAAGAAGGTATGTTATCACATGAGACTGAGGACATGGTGCTGTTTTGGCCCGGCGTCTGGCCTGACATTTACCATCCACTCACAAGACAGCAAGTCATGCTCGATAAAGAAAAGGAGAACCCACAGATCTTTCATGCTTCTCCAAACGCTCTCTTATTAAACTCTGCGGTGTGATATGAAAGGAAGAGGAGGTTTTGAAAGTGACATGCCTTTCTCTGTTAGCTGGAATAGTGAGGAGGAAGTTATCATGTGCCTGCCCTTTACTTGCTCAAAGCAGGTGTCCTAACCAATTCCCTCAACACTTCCTCTTGTCAACACAACACCAACGGTCCAAATCTGTCTTTACTTTACTTTTTTATGGGGCATGAGAGGGAACACAACAACGTCACAATAACCTCTACATAGAAAACTATACTAACTAAATTTCTTTTTTAATTAAATGCTTTTTTCAGGCTTGTTTTTTCATTACATTATATTCAAAATAGCACAAACTTACCCAATCCTAACTTTGGCTTAAACTGCTGCTTTCAGTGACCGGCTGTAATAACAGCAGTAAGAGTGTTTGTTTAAGTCTGTACCGCCTTAACACTACTGTATTTGGAAATTTTCTCCCATTCTTCGTGCTGAACTGTTCTCACAGCCCGCGTGGGGGCCTCCTACACTCCTCTTAAGGTCAGCTCACAAATGTTGCTGTGTGGGATTAAAGTCCAACATTACAGCTGGCCAACATGAACTGCTCTTCTTGGCTGAGCTGGCTGTGCACGTCAGATCAATATCATGTTGATTAAAAAAAAAATATGACTCTGCACTTCAACTTGAGTGGCTGTATAACAAAAGATATGACGCTGACATTAACATTTAACTGAGACAGACAATTTCTACCTTGACATCATCAAACCACAGGGTGTTTTCCCCCATATGGCTTTTGGAGAGCGTCAGTGTGTTCACTAACAGCTTCATTGCGACATTGGATTTTCTTTTTACCACGAATGGGCTTTCATTTTAGCCTTTCAACATCCCAGAAGCATGAAATAAATGTTTAGCAGGGTTGCATGATGACAAGATACAGTCCACTGGTTGCTTTGAGGTTGCTGTTGACCTTTAGGCAACTTCACTGATGATCTAACTCCTTGCACTTTCATTTTTCTTTGAGAAAAAGGCTGATCTAGAGAAGATCATACCACAGCTGAATTTCACCACTTCACCACATTCTTTGCTGGATGTATTTATGATAGTTGGCACTGTATTTGTCCCTTCCCTCCAGTAAATCATAAACAACTAAAACATCTTGAAGATACGGTCATGCACAAAGCATTATGTGACAGAACACATGAGGAAATTCACAGTTGTCAGAATCTTTGTTTTGGTTTAACATCAATTATTTAAGATATTTTCAAGTTATGGTAAATTAGTTTTCTGCTTTACTTTTGAAAGTATTTTCATTTGTACCTCAATTTCCTTACTAAATGAAAAATAGCCTTTTGTTCCAGGACTCAAAACTATCAAATCTAAACAAAAACAAAGTGGTGTACACATCTGTGTAGACAGAGCTACATACACAAGCAGTGGACCTGAAGAAAAGACTTGATCTGTGCTGCTCTCCTGCAACATTAAAACAAACTCCCAACAAACCATGCAGCCGGCAGGAGGAGGGACCATACAAGCAAAAAGAGGCATTTAAGTTTCAAAATCACATTTAATTTTCTAGGTTGCACTTTCGAGGGCTCTTGGGTTCCCTTACAAAACCAAAATCCAATGCTCGTCAAAACTTGACATCATATCAGTAAAATGGGCTTTAAAGGGCACGTGTAGGCCTACAACTGGTGTACGGAAGGTGTCGAACCTTATAAGCTAAATAAAACACCTGTTATAATGGTCTGTAGTTTCCTGACCGTAAACAGAATTTCCCGAAAAGCGTGGGAAGTGGACGGTTGCATCAAAAGCGGTTGTCTAAACAGCAAGTGGACTCAGTAAACGAGACCGCCGCCGTTTCGTAAAGTCAGGGTGATTCAGCAATAAACCGTTTGCTCAGCTCCGCCAAGATTGCCAGTTAGCCCAGACGCAGGAAAAACATCTGTGACCACGTCTTTCTGTGTCTGTCCAAACAGCACAGGATATCCACGTTCGTAATTCACTATAAATATCACTTTTAGAGGACATGGTACTTCTTCAGCTACCGCGGTGGAACGCAACAAGTGAACGCAGCACTGCCAAACGCACTAGCTAACAGGGTTTAAACACCACAATGGCTATTCCGTTTAATATTACACGACTCAATAATAAACAGCTACCACATACTACTTCTGGGAACGATATTTACTCGTCTAGCTACATCGAGAATCCAGCCTTATCCTTATAGGGAGAGGAGCTGCTTGCCAGCTTGGGGTAAAGGCGCTGCTGCCATATAGTAAACAGCCATCACGAGTGCCCTCGACATCCATTTTAGCAAGCCTTTAAATAATACATTTAAATTGCTTTTAAGCATACAGTTAAACAAGGGAGTGAAAATCCCCTCTGGCTGTCAAATGTTACGAATATAGAGGCATAAATATGAAGAGCGGGGTCAAAGTATTCGCATCATCTTAAACATGCTAGTAATGTTAACTGTGTTAGCACCTAGCTTCAACGGTCTCTGACGAGCTAAAGGAGATAAAAGCAAACAGCTGCCTTGTCCTTGGTTGGCTGGCAGGTCTCCGACAGATACAAGTCCCCTAATGTTCGGCGAATCACGGATAAAAATTATAACGCTTAATATTTTGTTAAAAATTATAATTTACCTGCTGGGTCGAAGCGACTCTGGCGACAAAATGTCAGTCCGCCTTTTCCCGGAATTACTCCGCTGCTCTCTGAGGTTGGATTCCTTCATTCATAAAAAACACAAGCGACAATGACGTCAGGCCCGAAGAATGAGGGCGGAGCTAACCCCGCCCCCGGTGGCGTACTCCGGGAGGATGTAAACAAGGAATCCCTGCATCCCAGAACTTTTCCATGACCAGCCCCCCGCTTGCTATTCCCAGCAACAACAACTTATCTGGAAAAAAAAGGCTTTAGAGTCACCCTTTACTGACACTGTTTAGTAACAGGAGCCATACGGTGGTTAAACATCAAGCAGAATCCAAAAATAAAAACAAATACCAAAGCTCAAACCCCCCACAAACAGAATCCAAAAATAAAAACAAATACTAAAGCTCAAACACCCACACAAACTCACATAGTTTTTACACTATGTTTTACTGTTGCACCATACACACACACTCAACAGGTAGAGGTAATCAAATATGTGTTTGTTTTTTTAACTAACAGGAAATAATAAGGGCTGGTGACTATTTTCTTTAATTTAGGCCTAGTTACAAGTTATGTATATAGAATAATATTTAGGCTTCCTGGAACCATATGTGGCTGGCAATAATACAATGATAAGTGAAAATCCATATATGATTCACAAATAGCCTACTTCAGAATTTGCCAATCAAAGTTTATGTATATAAAATGTATTTTCAATGTATCTTTGATTGCAAATGAATGCGTATATTTGGATTAAGTGCAACGGTTCCACTTTGAACTTTGAATGCATTCATTAGTTTGTCCTAGGTGTCTAGCAGGCTGACTTAGAACCGACTTCACGTAGATCCATGAGGGACAATGTGAATATTTCTGTAGTGTTATATTTCCTAACATCAAGCACAAACTGGAACACTGTACTACTACTACTACTACTATTATTCTTAGTTCTCCATGTGTTTATCAATGCACTAATATTTGTTTTTGTTCCTTCATACATATCAACAACTATGTATTAGTGCTGCAACAATGCCAATTTATATGTTTTACCAATGCTTAATTAGTGACATAAGGATGATGTATATTGGCACACTGATTCTTAGGGCTCTATACCACTTGTTCTCTAAGTGGAAAGCATGGATCCCCAGGGGTCATTGAGGGGTTTCTGTCGGGTTCCAGCAAAAAGGGGAATAATTTGTTTTTTTACTATAATTCCATCCATAAATAAAATATTAACCATCTAAAAGTCAAAATCCAACCAGATGGCCAATCTGGGACCAAATCTTATCAAATAAAGGTGTGTGATCTAATTTCTGTCAGTTTAGGGCTCCTTGACGTGAAACGTTTGAGAACCACTGCTCTATACAAGTTACAGTATTGAAAAAGTGCAGTTGTATTTGCAAATCATGGAAGATGTTCAAATCTAAGGTCAGAGACATTAGAGATTTATTACTACTAGAGAGTCCCTGCAGAACTTACATACATCGCAATAGTATTTTTTAGTTAATAACGTTCACATTTCTGGCTGCAGTAACTTGTTTTGCCATTAAAAAATGTAAAAAGCAGAACAACAGAAGATGAAAAGCTAGAATCTGTTTTTATTTCCTATGTGACTCTTTCTAAAAATTTTATTTAATTGTCTTTTTTGTATTTCCGTATGTTGCGATTATGTTTTATGTAAAGCACTTTGAATTGCCTTGTTGAAATGTAGAACTTCGCCTTGCAGTAGACAGCCGCTACGGCAGGGGGAGCTGTATATTTTTTATCGAAGTACAAACTGACCCCTGCCCTCTTCCCGTCATCCGTCCCGACAAGCCTCACGTTTTCCCCCCACTGTGACCTCAGGCTGTCTGTGAACCGATGCACGCCTTTTCCTAGCATTTAATGAAGACCGGGGTAAAATAATCAGACATAGATTAAACTGATTGCTCGCGACGTTTTCATCGTGAACACAGCTGATCCAGCCCGACAGAGACGAGCAGGAGTCATGGCCGCAATCGAGGAGCTGTCCCCAGCTGCGGGCCCGGTGTCCACCCGGCCCCCCGAGGACGAGATTGACGACGACGAAGATGAAGATGTAAGTGGCAAGTCATCCTGGGGTACTTCTGAAATGTCGATAAGAAGAAAGGTGTTACATAGAGCCTCACTTTCTGTTTCCAGCTTGTCCTTTTCTATGCTAAACATGGCTAGCTAACATGGCCGTAATGCTAACCTGCTAATTTAGCTACTGAGGTGTCTGGCTTTGACAAACCCTGTCTGAGTCCGTGGTCTGTTGCAAGGAAACAAAACGATTAAATAGTTACAATTTAGTCTAACTAGCAGTTAATTTTACTATCATGTTATTATCTTGAATGTTATGACAGTAGCATGAGCATTTCTCACTGTTGCAAAATGATCATGGAATAACGAAATTAATAAATTAATCTGGATTAATTTTTATTGATTGCTTACTCACAGTCTTTGTCTGATGTTTGTCTTTGTCTCCTCAAGCTGGATGAGACGCTGATGGAGAGGTTGTGGGGCCTTACAGAGATGTTTCCTGACACAGTTCGCTCTGCTGCAGAGGTGTCTGCACAATGCTCCGTCTCACTGGCTAAGAAGTTTTACAGGTACATCTCTTTCGCGTTTGAATCTCACCTTATCATTGCACAAATGTATACATGTGTCATGGTATCTAAGTGGATCAAGAGAATCTGCAAATTCGTAGGTTTGATCCCAGCAGCAGCCACTGGTCCTGTCTTTAGCCAGAGTCACAACTTGTAAACCTTTGGAAGGTAATCTTAGAAATGAAAGTCCTTGGTCCATACCTAGGACTGGCACATCTAAAACAACAGAAGCTAATCAGGTTGTTAACTTGTTTCAGTTTTTCCCGCTCGGCGCTCTGGGTGGGTACTACCTCCTTCATGATCCTGGTGCTGCCTGTTGTGTTTGAGACAGAAAGACTACAGCTGGAGCAGCAGCAACTACAACAGCAGAGACAGGTGATTATTCAGATTTGGGATGCATTTCAGGTGAACTATGACGGACTTCATTAATAGTTAGATTGGAGAAGCAAGTATTGACATGGCCTGAGGCGTGAATGCAGTATGAACAGAAATAAGCTATGAGAACAAATATTAAATGGATGAGCAACCTGAACAATTGACTGTTTTCTCTTCTAGATCCTGTTAGGGCCAAACACTGGAATGTCTGGTGGGATGCCGGGCATGATGCCTCCTGCGCCCGGCAAGATGTGAGACAAGAAGGGCCAACATGAACCCGAGATCTACTGCTAGCAATACAGCGGCGCCGGTCGCAAGGAGAGACAGAGAGACCACGGAGAAGGGGAAAGAACTGTAGTTTTTAAAAAGAAGCAGCAAAAGCTGCATGTCAGTGGCGCGACATTAGGCTCACTCCGACGTGTTGGATTGGCTAATGGGATTGGAGGAGGAGGAAGAGGATGTGGTTCGTTTCTAACACTTCTCTCTCACTGTCTCTCCTTACTCCAACATCATGCAGAGACTTATTTCTTGGAGCACTGCCTCTGTTTTCTTTGTCTTTTTTTTTTTTTTAATAAATACTTATATCAACATAGATACTGTGTTCTTTAGGGGGTTAGCAGGTACAGGTGGATACATTGAAAGAAAATAAATCTGGAGGTTACCAATTGTATTTTTGTCTTTGTGTTTGCAGTCTGAAGAACGTTACAGTATCTTTGCAGTTTTGTCCATCATCATTGGCTTGCTGGTGTCACTTCTGTGTGGAGAATTATGTTAATAGAATATGTGACAGACTGGTCCGATGCATTGTGGAGCATACTGTAAACTATATTAATTAATTGATAGAAATGTGGTCGACAGCATGACACTCTTGAAGTTCTGCAAGGTATATGAAACTCTTCTGTGTGAGGCGTTTCTGTCTGTACTTGTACGGTTTACATGTGTACATCTATGGATGTATGTCAGAGTGCAATGCCTCTCACTTCAGACTAGCCACAGTTATTGATTTTATTATATTTCTCTGCTTTTAAACAATAGATTGTAAAATGCAGCAACACCTGATTCCATGCTGTTCATTGATTCAATGATTGTTGTGTTCTTTTCTGTTGTTATTATGTCAAATGCAAAATAAGTTTGCCGTTGTCATGTAAGCCTGGCAACATGTCACATGTTTTTGGACATATGCGGTATTGGTGGTTGATCAAGTCTCATTACCCAAGATATAATGTTCTTTTCATTGTCATCCATGTGACAATTTACTATCTCTTCTGTTCAGTAGGCAATCCCACTTCTGTGTTTTGTGTTCAAGATGACTGCAGTAATTAAAGTAAAGCAAATAAAACAAGTGTTTACTTTCAGCTTGTTGGTTGTGTATTTGCTCAAATATGCCCATAAGGCATTAAGGAAGGGTTTATCAATGAAAGATGAGACTAAATTATAATTATTAAAAAACAAGCAATGAAATTTTAAGTGTAAGAGTGTAACATTATGTGTTAGATTTTGTCTTGAAATAGCTATTCGACTCAATGTCATACTTTTTTCAGACAGTTTTGAAAAGCACAGGTGCAACTGATAACATGAATGTTTACCTGAGAGCTACACCTAAAAAAAATCATTACATACACCTGTGCTTTTCGTGCAGTAAAAAATGTCCATTATTTGTAGCGATGATGCTTAAGTTTATATTTTTGCCTTGCATTATAATATACCACCACCGCCGGTTTCATATAACACCATATCTACAATGTAGCGCAAACACTTTCAAACAACACTAGAAAAAGTCCAGATAAAGAATATGAATGCAGTGCTGCATTCACTGCTATTTTTTTTTTAGCTTCTAGTCCCGAGGGTTGTTTCTCTTTGGCTCAGACCAGGTACTAATGAGGCAAGGCAAGTTTATTTGTATAGCACATTTCAACAACAAGGTAATTTAAAGTGCTTTACATAAAACATAAAAGCAACAGGGAAATATAAAAAAGTTTAAAAGCATCATAGGGAAATTTAAAAAATACACATTAAAAAATAAAAGTTACAGTGCAGTGTACTATCAGGGTTAAAATAGTTACTGATGAGCATTTAGGAAAATCTGTATTTTCTATAAATTACTTTGTGGAGTTGTTAATGTTTAATAAGGTGAACAAGTGCGACAGTCCGCCCTTGAAAGCAATAATTATTTATTTAAGTGTTGGATCAGTCATGTTTATGTTGTAATACATCCACGGTTTATGGTCGCTCAACTGATAAATGTGTAATTTCCGACTGCACTTGAATAGAACAAAAATCACGGATTCCCGCCAGTTCCTGCGCGCGAGCCGGTTCGGGACCCAGGAGCACTTTAACTTTTACCTTTTAACTTAAACTTGTATTTTTTTAGTTAGTATCTCAACATTCTTGTAGTTTTCTAGTTAAGGTACCTGAACAGGAAAATATTCAAGTTTTGACAGTTTGTCCAACACTCTGGTTGATGTCATGAGCAGCTGAAAGACAAGAGTTTAGTTAACTTAATGAGTCAGACATTAAAGCTAACTTTACTTAGAAAGTAAGCTAACCTAGCTGACTTTGGTTAAATATCCTTACTGGCATCAACAGAACCAGCAAAATCATTCAACATACATTACATTGAAAATGAAAGCTGCAGAGGATCAGGTTGTTGAAGATGATTCTGGTTTCCAGGATGATGAGGTGAGATATTGTAATGTTAGTTAAGCATTTCTCTTAATCCTTTCTAACAGCAGGCTAACAACAGTTAACTTAAAATGTATGTCCCTGCCTAGGAAATCCCCGACAGCTAAAAAATGTAAAAAAGTTGCCATCAAAGTTAATTAGGACTAAGTTAACTGACTAAAAGCTTAATCTTAAACATAAATCCAGATATAAATTTATACATAATTGAAAAAAATATATATAAAACTATTAAAAATAGTGTGACAGCATCATTAATCATTTAAATAATTTATTAGTAAGGATATTCTTTAATGTAAATAGTATTATTCTCTGCAAAAAAACACGTTTAATGTTACTTCTCAGCAACTTCCTCATGCAGATTTAATTTTTCTCTGAACCTAACAGGAGTCCTTCTTCCAAGACATTGACCTACTCCAGAAACATGGGATTGTGAGTAAACAACGGGCCTTAAACATACTTAGTTTTCCCATCAGATCAAAAGTCAGTGAGCATCCCTCTGTCCCTCCTACCTGTGACCACAGAATATGGCAGACATCAAGAAGATGAAGTCAGTGGGTATCTGCACTGTGAAGGGGATCCAGATGACAACTCGCAAGGCTTTGTGCAACATCAAGGGCCTGTCAGAGGCAAAAGTGGAAAAAATCAAGGAGGCTGCTGGGAAAATGCTGGTAAAATTGGATTGTCTACTTGAAGTTGAATTACTTGTGAAAGGAAACTTTTTTTTTTACGTATCAGATACTTTTATTTTATTTTTACAGAATGTGGGTTTCCAGACTGCCTTTGAGTACAGCGCAAAGAGGAAGCAGGTGTTTCACATCACAACTGGGAGCCAAGAGTTTGAGTTAAGATTTACTCACAATGTTGATAACATGACTTGACTAGAATTTACACTACTAACCTGTTACCTAACCTTTGTGCATTTACAATTACATATATTATGCTCAATGGGACATATAGTGATTTAATACAGTATTGTTGTAATAGTATAATATTACTTAAATATATCTCATTGTGGCTGCATTACATTTAATTTACATAATTTATCAGACTTTTTCTAGCACAGCGTAATTAACAACGAACGCCTCAACTTGCTAGATTATTTAATCCACATTACTTATAATTGTTTTATTACAGAACCAAAAATATTGTCACATTATTGATATTTAGGAACAAATTATGCAACTTTACCAGATACACTGACACTTATATTTTTTTGAATGTTTTACTTTAAAATGTTTTTAGCTGGTGAAATAGTAAAGTGACTAGCAAACATTTAGATTACCCAGCAGATACTGTGGCTGGGTCAAAGAAACTAAAAAGTTAGTTTCTCTTATTGCATTAAACATTCCCAAATCATAGCATAGATGTAACAATAAATATATATTTTTATCTCTGCAGTAAACTTTTAGGTGGAGGTATAGAGAGTATGGCTATCACAGAGGCCTTTGGAGGTAAGGAGACGTCTTCCTATTGTTAAATACACTGTGTGATTAAATCAGGATCGTTTTTTTTGCACTGACTGAAAACTCCCAACATTATTTCATCCTACAGAGTTCCGCACAGGGAAAACCCAGCTGTCTCACACATTCTGTGGTGAGTAATGAGCCTTTTGAGAAGTGGCTGCTCCAAAGTGAATGATAAAACAACACTGCAAAAGTCAAATACATTGAATAAAGCAGATTGTGTGTTGTTTTTGCCCAGTCACTTCTCAGCTGCCAGGCGAGGATGGCTACTCAGGCGGGAAAGTCATCTTCATTGACACAGAGAACACCTTGTATCCTCACGATGATGGGAACAACCATGCAACATTTGACGGGCAGTTTGGTTGATGTTTAAATCGCAAAATTTCGGAATCTCTGACACTCATGTGTTTTTTATATGCTGTCCCAGGAAGAACCTTAGCTATAAGTAGCACCGCGTCCAACACATGACATGTGCTGATTTTAAAAACGTGTTCATGGGAGATATTTCTTCAGTGGGTGTAATAATATGATAATACAATTACTTCTTCTTGACTTCTTGTTATTCGGTTTCACATTATCCTTGACTCGTACCTGTCTGGTTCCAGTCGTCCAGACAGACTAAGAGACATTGCTGACAGGTTTAATGTGGACCATGATGCTGTGCTGGACAACGTTCTTTACGCCCGGGCTTATACCAGTATGAACATAAATTAATATATTCACACGTTTGTGGTGTACAAAGGCAGAGCAGTTTGTACTGAAAATAAAATATAATATAAATAAATATAAAATATATAGTGTCTGAAACCTTTGTCTTGCTTGCCCTTCAGGTGAACACCAGATGGAGCTGTTGGACTTTGTAGCTGCGAAATTCCATGAGGAAGGAGGAGTGTTCAAACTGTTGGTGAGTAAAAGGATTCATTCTAAAAGCATGTTTTCACATATTCATCATTTCTTTAGATTTACTTCCCCCATATAATTTACTTATTCACTGTGTGAAGCTGTGGGTGGGTGAAAATACACTTCATGGGAATGAAAGTAACGGTATGTGACAGGCGTACGTTTTATAGGTAGGATTCCTTCCTAGCTTTCTCAGTCTTGGTCTCCTTCTTGTCTGCTCCACTCTGTTGTCAGATCATCGACTCTATCATGGCTCTGTTCAGAGTAGACTTCTCTGGTCGTGGAGAGCTGGCCGAACGGCAGCAGAAACTGGCCCAGATGCTCTCCAGGCTGCAGAAGATCTCTGAAGGTCCGTACCAGTAGCGTTCTTATATGCATTTATGTAAAATTCAAACATTTATCTTATCTGGCAGATATAGGGAATTTCTGTAGAAATCTATATTGAAGCTGTTTATTGACTAATTCAGCTTTTGTGTCTCTCAGATGGTAATCTCAAAAAATAGGAATGTTCCTAATAGTGGAGATGATTTAATGGTTTTGCTCCTGTGGCTTACTGGTATAATTTTTGGTTTTCTCAGAGTACAACGTAGCAGTGTTTGTCACGAACCAAATGACGGCTGATCCCGGCGCAGGGATGACGTAAGAGAAATTCCCTTGCTCTGAATAAATCGGACACGTTTTGTCCTTGAAAGTCTGTGTTGTTGCTGACACACTGGGTGCAACAATGTTTGAAGCTTTGATGAGATGTTTTTGGTTTTTCTGTCCCTGATGTAGATTTCAAGCTGACCCCAAGAAGCCAATTGGAGGACACATCCTGGCCCACGCCTCCACCACACGGATCAGCCTGAGGAAGGGGCGTGGAGAGATGAGGATTGCCAAAATATTTGACAGGTAAGGCAAGAATGTTTCTATTCAGTAAATCCTAATACACAAGTTTTAGTCGAAAATAATTAGCAATTAGTGAGTTTTCTCCTATCAAGATGGAAATATTTGACAATGTCAGCTGCAAATGACAGTTAAAGTTTTACTTCCCATTACCATCAGCTAAACAAACTGACTGTGATTTTCTGTACCTGAAAACATGTTGTGACATCAAAACAAGGTCTTTGCCTGTCATGTTATTTTCTCACATCACCAAGCTCAAGGTCTCGGCAGAAGTTTAACATTGCACACATTTTGTGCGTCCTAAAAGTAATATTCCACTCCTACAGGTCTCTTGTAAACACTCATTCACATTTTTCAAGATTTCTTTGTAACTGCTCAGACTTGGACTTTAATTTGAACAATGAAGACATCTGGGACTGGGAGTTGCTCTCCTCAAGTGTCTATCCTTCTCGATTTCTTGTAGTCCTGATATGCCTGAGAATGAGGCCACTTTTGCCATCTCTGCTGGAGGAGTTACCGACGCCAAAGAATGAAGGGTAAAAGGAAAAGAGACACATGTTTGCACAGTTTCCTGTTCATGTCAATTTAGTACATTTAAGGTATTTTTAATGAATGTATTTATTGAGTTTTATAAATTTATATAACCTCCTAAAGCTATACTGACTTGTAGTGTGGTACTTTTGATGTATTTATTGTATTTATATGGTATTTTCTCTGTGTTTCAGAGATGTTAAAATAAACATCAACAAAAAGACAACAGTTTGTTTTCTCCTTTTTTATTCTGATGACTGAGATTACCTACAGAGAAAGAGAAATGTACAGTTAGACGGTGGTACGGCCGGTGCTGGCCTCTAGCGGTGCCTGCAGGTCCTGCAGACCACTTCTCGTCGGACACGGGATCCATATGGTTGGTAAAGCAAGGCTTAACAAAGCAATGGGAACTTCAAACGTGCTGCTAAGAGTCTAAAAAACACCAGCAACTACACGTTTTAACGGGAGCATCACAGTCACCCACTCCCCCTGGCAGTGGAGAGCTTGTCAACTCTGGTGAAAGCAGCGATGGACCCGAGCGACACAGCCCCGGATTCGTGGGAGCTGGAGGAAGATGCCGAGGCCGCGGCGGGGCTACCGACCGCCTTCGCCGCTCTCAACGTTAACGCCAAGCCGTTTGTCCCTAACGTTAACGCCCCGGTCTTTGTACCGAGTTTCCTTCAAGCCAACGTCGTGGAAATCCCGGCTTCAGACGGTAGGTGAACCCCAGACAGCTGGCTGGAACTTAGCTTAACTTGCTAGCTTGCTTGCTAACCAAGCTAAATTAGCCTTCCTGACTGCAGCTCGCTGTGCTCACTCCAGCCTCTGCCACAGTTATCGAATTCCCATTTACTAATCAACAAGTCGGCTTGAGTGTTAAGTTAGTCGTAACAGTCCAATAGCTTATTTATAACGCATTAACAGTGACAGCGTCAAAAATTACCGCCCTTGTCTAATAAATATGCATGAAAGTTTGACATGCTGTGTTTTCTCTCCTACAAGGTGCCCCTGATCCAGTTGCCAGCATGGAGGTGGCAGAAACAGCCGGTATGCATCCACAGTATACTCCAGCCACGGCATGTTCATGTTATTATATTATAAAGCTGTCTGTCAGGCAGGTTGTTACCACAGGACAGGTGTGGTTATAGGCTCAGGTGTGTACATTTACCTGCAGCCAGCCATTTGAATTCTCAGACCAGGAAAGCTTGGATGCTCACTTTTGAGTCACTGCTTGTAGGTTCACTTACTGAGCCATATTTGGATTGCTGGCATCGGTAAACACGTGCGAGGGCCTACATATGATATGATGCAACTTCACTTGTCCATGCCCAAAATAAACATCCCAGTAGCACACATTGGTGTGTGTGTGTCAAGCGCTGCATGTCCAAAGCCTTGGTCTGCTGCGTCAGAGCAGTTTGAATGTATTTGGTTACTCCAGAAGAATGCAGTCACCACTGAGTAGTTTTAATTTGCCCCAGTAAGGTTCATTCACATTTTTTGGCCTCAGGTGGGGTTGCTGTGTGCCTTGACTCAAGTTACAGAGAACTGGTGGTGTTTTTGTTTTTTAATAGAGAGGCTGAGACCTGCAGCTGTAGCGAGTGAGTGTCATAGGGAGACAAAACAAAATGATAACATGTAGTGTATGTGAGAGACAGACAGTCATTGTGGTCTGGAGAAACCTTTCCTTTTAACATTTCATACAGACATTTATTTATTGGGATGCTTGTTGAACACTTGCCTCTTCAATTTGCTCTAAACATTTATAACTACAGCATAATGAGACTGTCGACAAAGTCAAGGCACGAATGGCTTTTCTGAGTTGCCAGCGGCAATATCTCACAGGCTGATTATAAGCGATGAGGGTTGAGAAGAAAATAGGCATTGTACATGACTGCTGGGCTGCATAATTCATAGTTACGGAAATGGGAAGCTTATTTGTGTGTTGCCATGGGAAGATGCTCCTTCTGCAGGGCTCAGCAGATTTCTTTTCACTCCTCTTACAGTTTTTTTTTGTTTGACTTGTACTTGTTTGGTCGGCAGAGCATTTCATCAATTGTGTTTCTAAGTGAACAGGACTAATGATGAGACCACACATGGTGAAGCCTTGCAACTCTTTTTAGATCGTTTGAAATTCAAGGCACAGCTCCAATAGTAGTTAGTGCACCTGAACATCAAACATCAATCTTTGCAGCAGATTTTTAAAACAGAATTAAATTTTAAGATTAGAAAAGACCACACATCTCATCACAACACAGAAACATGATGTCTGAAATAGTGCATGTGAATGTTAATCGTGTGGGAGATGAATAATGAATAAGACATCTTGACTCAGTGCAGTTCTGTCTTTGAAGTTTCAGTACGGCTTTGGAGTTTGCAAATGTGGGAAAAGGATTTTAGTTTGGCATAAACTGGCGCAAGTGTTCATTAAATAGCTCCTCCTCCTCCGTCCAAGCTGTGGGTTGTCTGAAACGTTCAGACAGTATGGAGAAACATCAGGTGTATGGGTGCCGTAAACGTGTGTTGTTCCAGCTCCAGTGGAGAATGGAAGCACGGAGGCGGACGTGACCACAGAGGAAGAGACGTGGGAGCAGAAGGAGGAGCCCGGGGGAGGCGGAGGAGGCGGAGGACAGGAGGACCTGGAATCAGGAGGAGTCTGTGAGGAGGGCGGTGCCGCTGGGAAAGAGGATGAAGAGATGATGGAGGAGGAGGAGGAGGAGATGCCCATGCCCAAAGTGGCTCCGGCGCCTCCAGACGCCCCCAAGAAAGAACACGTGAACGTGGTCTTCATCGGTCACGTGGGTGCGTCTCATTTGTATGTATAGGATTTTATCTAACATTATAGAAAGTCGAATAATGTTCATACCTGTCTTTGTCTGTCAGATGCTGGTAAATCAACTATTGGAGGACAGATCATGTGAGTAATCAGTTCTGTAATCAGATTCAGTAATCAGATCATGTTCTGTGTTGTGCTGATCGCAGGGCTGCCCTGTAAAAACATTTTGCTTGAACATGTTGTGTAACTTCAGCTGTGTTCAAACACCAAAGGTGAAAAACAAAACAGAACAGGTTGACTCTTGCCCAACAGTATTTTTTTAGTTTCACTTTTGCTCCCTTAATGCCACAGATAAAATAAGTATGACATAATTTGATTGGCTGCCCACAACTTCCTTTGTGCTCTCCTTGCCAGGTACCTAACTGGAATGGTGGAGAAGCGAACCCTGGAAAAATATGAAAGGGAAGCGAAAGAAAAGAACAGGGAGACATGGTGAGAAACGCTTGTGTTGTGTAAAAATAGCATGCCTTTCATTTTCATTTCGTTCCTCCTCATGTTTAATATCAATATATATTGCAGTAGGAAACATAAATTAACGAGAAAACGTGGTTGTCACAGGTACCTGTCGTGGGCTCTAGACACAAACCAGGAGGAGAGAGACAAGGGGAAGACAGTCGAGGTCGGGAGAGCTTACTTCGAGACTGAGAAAAAACATTTCACTATCCTGGATGCCCCCGGACACAAGAGCTTTGTCCCCAACATGATTGGTGGAGCGTCACAAGCTGACCTGGCAGTCCTGGTGAGATGGACGTGGACACACAACCGACCCTAACGCTAACCTCACGCAGATTAAATCCTCTTCTGACACCTAGAGATTATTTTTTAATATAAACGATGTACATTTATTCGTAAATGATTCCACTGGTGAGATGTTTCACCAAGTATATACAAACATCTGCATTATGATCCATTTCCTATGGTACATTTTTTATCATATATCTTATAAATAAGTTCACAGAATCTTTTATTGGTTTGTATCAGGTGATTTCAGCAAGGAAAGGGGAGTTTGAGACCGGCTTTGAGAAGGGAGGACAGACACGGGAACATGCCATGCTGGCTAAAACAGCAGGAGTCAAGCATCTCATTGTCCTGGTCAACAAGATGGATGACCCCACTGTCAACTGGAGCCTAGATAGGTAAACAGAGAGCGGGTGAAAATAGATATGTTCATGTTAGCTTTAATGCTGCGTTAATGTTAAAATAGTGTATTTTAAAGATGTGGTAGATTGATGGCAGACTAATGTCGATCAGTGAATTATTAGCAGTTTTACTGGCCTTCTGTTTTATTCAGATGTTCACAACAGATGTATGTTTATGGTTCCCACGTGACTTCTGGGATGTTATACATGTTACAGTTTTTATAAATCATCTCATCTTTTCATAACGTTCCTGCAGGTATGAAGAGTGTAAGGAGAAGCTGGTGCCATTTCTAAAGAAGGTGGGCTTCAACCCCAAGAAGGACATCCACTTTATGCCTTGCTCCGGACTCACAGGTGCCAACCTCAAGGACCCTGTATCTGAATGCCCCTGGTACACGTAAGTCAGCCCTGTCAATGGGTTTCTATGGTTGTGCAGTATGAAGCTTTGTCAGCTTGGTGCACATGGTTTCATAAATCCTGACTGCAGTATTTTCTATAATACTCAGCTATGGTTGGAGCAAACATTTAATGAAAAAGAGATGCAATTGAAATTAGAGTATTAGGCTGTCACCCATGGCAGGACATGCTACGACACAGCAGCCGCACTCATGAAGAAATTTATGACGTAAAATGTGAACAGGTGGATGTTTTATGGTGATGGGAAGTCTTTCTTTTTCTTTTCTTTTCCAGGGGTTTGCCATTTATTGCCCATCTGGACAGTTTGCCAAACTTCACTAGATCCAACGATGGACCAGTCAGACTACCTATCGTAGACAAATACAAAGTAAGAAGCCATTATTAGAGAAAAACAGAAATCTGTTGCGGTTTGTCTCTTCACTGCACTATCCTCAGCAGATGAGTGGGCGTGAAATTTCTTTTGGTTTTTGTTCAAATGGCCAAAATCTCTTTTTTTCAGCCCTTCTCCAGTTTGTCATTATCCACGGGTGATTTTCTAACCCCCCCCCCAGGTTTTGTAAACTGTTGGAACTGCAGATTAATTGCAGTGTTTCAACATCACAGTATAAGAAACAGTTTTACTGCTGCTGTTACGTGTTGAAGTAATAAATGCTACGTAAAAGGAGATGCAGAGTTGCAATGAAAAGATAGAAAAGACAGATGCATGCTGTGTTTAACTCTGAAGTGCAGTGATTGGTTTAGGGTAGAGGGACTGATTTAAAAGCCGTCGCTTTCACTTCCATTGAGTGAAATCCCAGAGGCTCTTCAGTGGTGTAACAGGGACACTGGGTTGCTTGTCATCATAGAAACAGATCATCAGCTTGTAATGTTTATTCCTGCCTCAGTAATATCTGCTGCTTTCCCTCCGGAAGGTACTTTGTTTCAATTCTTTCAATAGACTGTCTTCTACTTGGCTCTCTTTCACCAGCCTTTTGTCAAATTCTAATTGCATGTGACATTTCATTTTTTCCTGCTCCATTTTTAGTTCAGCTAACATTTTCTCATAGTCTACATTACTTTTTATTATCTTCTCATTAAGCCTTTCCTAAAGTTGTTTATTACTGTTTTTGTGTTTTATTTCTAAATGTTATTCTAAGGCAGCGATATGTAGGACTAACTTGTCATTTTTGCCTGTTAAACTTAATTGTTGTATTTGTTTAACATTACTGTTCTGCTCTTTTGTTATTTCCAATTCGTTTCTGAGAGCCTGTACTTTAGTTTATATTAAGAATATGTACAATTTTTCTATTTCTAATGCAGTCCTTGGACCAGAATTCTTTTTTTTTATACGTACTTTAAAGTCTTGAGAGTTTGCACTGAATGTATCTTTCTATCTCATGTTGAGATGGACGAATACTGACTTATTACTTACTTTATTCACAGAATAAAATACTAAACTGGACATTGCAAGAGACCAACACAAGAACACACACACACACACACACACACACACCAGCCCTGGCAGTGTTGTAATAGCCTAATTCTGAATGTGATATCATCAGAACAAAATAAAGAAATGTGTGTGTGTGTTTGCAGGATATGGGCACAGTTATCCTCGGGAAGCTGGAGTCAGGATCCATCAGTAAAGCCCAGCAGCTGGTCATGATGCCAAACAGGGTGAGATATCCTCTGTAATGACTTTGCTCCTTCTCCCAAGGGACCAATAAACTCTCTACTTGAAATAACTTGAAGACCCCATTCTTGTATTAAATGTGCAGCAGCCTACATAGGTAGAAGATCCTGTAACTAAGTATCCAGTTTTAGTACAGCATAATGTGTTTATTTAAGTTGTTTATTTAAAATATGTACAAATAGCTGTGGTTGTGTGTCGCAGCACACCGTGGAGGTCTTGAGCCTGCTGAGCGATGATGTGGAGACAGATGATGCAACTCCCGGGGAGAATCTGAAGTTGAGGCTGAAGGGCATCGAGGAGGAAGAAATCCTCCCTGGTTTTATCCTCTGTAGCCCTGACAACCTATGCCACTCTGGACGCACCTTTGACGCACAGGTAAAGATGACCAAAGTCACTACACGCTCACACCGGTGTCCTCTTTATACATCTGACATTCAGAGTCATTAGCTGTGAGGCCAACAGATAGACTCTCCACCACACGCTCCTGCTGCTCGGTCAAAATACAGAAATGCAAGCCTGTTTTTTGAAGGTTTGTTAGCGTCTGTCTAAGCAGGGTCTTTGTAGACGGGAGGGCTGTGCTTCAGGCCAGTTCATTTAAGGGCCAGATGTCTATGCGGAGCCACTCTTAAAAGACGAGTTAGCAGCAGTACATAGTGGCAGCTTGTTTGATGCATAACATTGTTTGGATTGGAATTATTGTTTAGTGCAGGGGTTCTTAACCTTTCTGGCAGTCCAACACCCAGTGCAGTGCAGTGAGAGGCGCCTTTTTTAAATTGTTTTCTATTGGCAGTGAGCGTTTTGCGGGCTGTTTATGTGCCCTGGGCGCCTTGCGTTTTGGTGTTTTCGAAGGAGTGCTCTGAGTGCACAGAGGCAGAAAAGTGCCCGATCTCATTTGCATTTCTTTCCCATTGTCCAAACTAATGAATGGAGAGACGAGCCCTCAGTTGTGCTGACGGACGTTTACAGTTGCTTGGATTGTCTGGAGACTGCAACAAACTGTCCCCGACTCCTAAAATCCTAAAATAAGACTTGAAACAACCATCATTAAGACGAAGCCCCTGGACCAACTGGTGGTACCACCAGCGGTGTCTCCTCTTTCTGAGGGTCTCGTGTGCCCACACGGATCTCCCTTTCCCTGTCTCCTCCATGTTTGTTCACCTCTCACACTCAAACAATACCAGAGCAGGCGCCCTCCGTTTGGCAGATGTTTTTAACAACAAAAGCCACAGACCTGTGAGATGTGATCAAGTTTCAGCTAATATGACAGTTATTACTTAGCAGCAAACCTCTTTGATTAGACTGACTGGAAAGCTGATTCGGTGGTTGTCTAGCAACATTAAAAAACCGCAACGCTTTGCTCTTTTCCAAATTCAACCAAAAAAAGTTTTCGAACCTGCAAAGCGCGCTCTGTCTGATCGGGGCCTTTGGCATTTTATAGCGGTTGGCATTACCGCCACCTACTGGATTAAACAGTGCAGAATATTTACAGTGTCCACCCAAAGTGATTCCATTCATAACTGTAGTCCGTCCAGTTATTTTTAAGTTATTGTTTTTCTGTAGTAGCATTCTCGTTCTCCCGACCCCCAGGTTAAGAACTACTGGTTTAGTGTTTAGAGCAAGTGCACAGAAGCATGAGGCATTCAAATATGTCAGCTGATGCTAACCGAAAAGACTCATCAGCTTGCTTTTAAATACACAAGGAGATGTGGAGAGTATGTATAATAAACTATATATATGTACAGTATACAATATATGTATTATGAACATGTTAAATGAGCTTATTGTGATTTAAATGAGCTTATTGTGATTTCAGATCTTAATAATCTCTGAACTTTACCTGTTGCTCTTTTGCTCCTTTTTTATTTCAGATTGTCATCATTGAGCACAAATCAATCATTTGCCCTGGTTATAATGCAGTCCTTCACATCCATACCTGCATTGAAGAAGTGCAAATCTCAGTAAGTCACTGCTGCACTTTCCAAGATGGCTTATTTTATTAAGCATTTTTATTTTCCCCTGGCCTTACTGGACTGGTTCAACTCTTTAAATCCTGACCTTAGGCCTTAATCTGTCTGGTGGACAAGAAGACGGGGGAGAAAAGCAAAACACGACCACGCTTTGTGAAGCAGGACCAGGTGTGTATCGCCAGGCTCCGGGCAGCAGGAGTCATCTGCTTAGAGACCTTCAAAGACTTCCCTCAGATGGGACGATTCACGCTGCGAGACGAAGGTAAGGACACTGTCGGTGTGTTTGTAAGACAGCTCGAATGTCTTTATCTTAAGTATTCTTTTAACAACAGCTAATGGATGTTGCAAAACTGGCTTACAGACACAGATGTTACAGCACAGATAATAAATTGTGAATTTATTTGCTTTTGTGCATTTTGTCAATCATATGAATTCTTGAATCGCCTTTTTATCCCTCACTTCTCTTCGTACGCTCCCCCACCAGGCAAGACTATCGCCATCGGCAAAGTGCTGAAGCTGGTGCCAGAAAAGGACTAAACGCAACAGTGGCAGCATGCATGGAGTTCTTCCACTCGTTACCAGAGGAGAAACGCTGCTCGAGCCGACCCAAACAGCCACTCTCTCTTTACACACAACTATGCTGAAGAGAAGAACAATGACAACAAGGAGTGAAGAAGGAGAATAAAATCGCTTAAAATGAAGAAAACGAGACTGAATCAGTTTTTAAGATGAACAATATGAAATGAGAGACCAAGTCCAGTGTGTCAGCTTTCTCATATTGAGAGCTCAGCTATGCCACTAATGTAGCTACATATCCCCCTTCTGTACTCCCACAGCTAACCACACTGTCGGCTGTCCACGCCATTTGTTTTTAGAATGGATATGGATGCAGTGTTACTGAGATTGGGGAAGGAAAAACAAATATTATTTCATATCCTGCAAAAGACCAGGGTTAGCCTGTAGTTATACTTTGCAAAGTACATCTCCCTTTTTAAGAGTGGTATTTAGAATCCAATGGACATTTTTATTTGGTTTTAAGGATTGCTGTACCAATATTTTTAGTTTGGTCTCTCTCCACATGAGATGGTTTAATTGGATTGAGCTCACACACTACTCTGATGAACCATGGATAAACACACTCACACAGACAGACACACACAGCTGTTACATAATCTAAACTGAAAATAAATGATCAAGCTGCAACAGAAAGGTGTATTTGTTTTCCTTTTAATAAGGATAAGTAATAGATATTTACATTTGAGATGGAAAAATCAAAAATGGATCAAAAAGTACAAAAAGAAAAGTACTTATTATGCAGAATAATGAATATTACATCACCGGATTATAATTATTCATGCATTAATGTGTAATCACTAATGTTGCAGCGGGTAAGGTGGGGCTAATTTCAACTTTATATACTGCTGGGTAGCTTAATCCATAATAATACCTAATACATTGTTAGCTGATTATATTTTGTATTAATAATCTGAATTTGCAATGTAACTAATGCCAAATAAATGTAGTGGAGCAAAAGGTACAGCATTTACCTCTGAAATGTAGTGGAGTAGAAGTAGAAAGTAGCATAAATGAAAATTAATTTCAAATAAACTATAAGTACCTCAAAATTGTACATAGTTACATTTCATGTAGGAATAACAAATCCTGACATTTGAATATTAATAGGTTACAGATTTTGGTGCTATCATCTGTTTACACCTTTTAATTAGTATAATTGGATGTCAAGTAAATATACTAAAAAGATGCCATTGTCTTTAACTTTTGGGCTGCCCTACATTTGTAATTTATCAAGCATTTTATGAAGAATTCAATCTCCACTGTGTAAAAAGTGTTCACGGTTCTCGTACAAATAAAGTTTGCTGGGTATTTTGTGACGTAGCGTATGCCAATTGCGCATGCGTGGCTGCGTTTCACACGTGAAGCAGACAGCATGGCTGAGGAAAGAGAAGTGGCGTTAGACCGGGGACAGGTAAAACGGCATTTGTGCTGCTATACATTTAAAGTCTTTATAAACAGCATGCCGGCTAATTGTTTATTTACGTAACTTTGATCAGGTTTTTTTGCACAAGTCAACAGCAGCTAGAAGAGAGCTAGCATTAGCCATGTTGCCTGCCGACTGGTTTAGCTACGAAGCTAACTCACCGTGGGAAGGCAGCAAGTCTGAATCGGAGTTTGTCGGTGGCTTTGTGTAGTCTTTTATAACTCTGGTGTCTCTGTCAGGTGAAGAAGGCCGTCCAAGCTTTGCAGGCTTTTCTGAGAACCAAGTCGACCCAAGACTCCCTGCTCCTGGACGAGACCCAGCATGTCAGCCTGCTCTTCACCCTCTGGAAGATCCCCAAAGCGGCACAGACCATCCGCATGTGAGTCCCCCAGGCAGGCCCGTACAGCTGTCCTCACTGTCTGACCTGTAGTTCTTCTGCAGCAGGTATTAGCTCAGCTGAACCCACTTGACTGATATTGACGTTTCTTTCCTCAGTCCCCTGCCCCACGGCCAACGGCCTGACACAGACGATGTTTGCCTCTTCACCAGAGATGAGCCTAACATGACCTCAGAACAGACCCAGAGGTTTTATAAGAAGCTGCTGGAGGAGAAAGGAGTCAAAAACATCACTGAGGTATTTTTCCCACAATTTTTATTTAACGTGTATTTTCTCATCTGTTGTATCTGGAGCAGCTGTTAATGAGTGAAGTTCCCGGTGTGGGATCAATAAAGTCTATGTTATCTTATTGATGGTACACATAATCATGATGCGTCCCTGTATCTGGGGCAGATCATCCCGTACAAGGTCCTGAGGACGGAGTACAAACCGTATGAAGCCAAGCGCCGGCTGCTGGGGAACTTCGACATGTTCCTTTCTGATGACCGCGTCCGCCGCCTGCTGCCATCCCACCTCGGAAAACATTTCTATCAGAGGAAAAAGTAAGACCTTGTCTCAGTGTTGTCAGTTTTGCCTTCAGTAACTTTAATATCTTCAGTATAACATCACAGCAAACAGGTGACTTGCTATCTGTTGGGGTTTGATCTTTGTCAGCTCTGTAAGCACCTGCTGTAGATTCACATCAAATGCTCCGTACTTGTATAGCGCCTTTCTAGTCTTTTCGACCACTCAAAGCGCTTTTACACTACATCTGCATTCACCAGTCATACACATTCATACACTGAGCCTAAGTGCTCAAACAGAAACTAACATTCACACACATTCACACACTGGCAGAACAGCCACCAGAGGCAATTCGGGGTTCAGTATCTTGCCCAACGACACTTTGACACGCAACTAGGGGGAGCCGGGGACCGGGAGGGGGCCGGGGGGGAGCTGACCTTCTGATTAACGGCCAACCCGCTCTACCTCCTGAGCCACAGCCACCACATCAGCGGACTTGGATTCTTTTCCAAGACATAGTGGACTGTTGGATATTGTAGGTGTGTGTTTTTTATTCTGTTGTGCAGTCTGATGTTATGTCTAACTTCTGCTTTCAAAACACTTTCTTTATGTCCCATTCATATACTTACAGCCTAAAGGGGCTGACAGTAAAAAGGTGTTTCTCCTTGTGTAACACGAGGACACCATGACTTAATTTGGTTTTCACAGTGGGATTGGAGTTCACAGGTGATTCACAGAAGTGAAAAGGCAGCTGTCTGTTGTGCATTCTGTGTGTGAGAAATGCAAACATCATACAACAAAAAAAATCCGTCCCTAAATAAAAAAAAAATGGAGCAATATAATGTTAATTCCAGCTTACCTTGCTCACAAGTTCTATTACACATTTGGTACCAAAATATTAGTAGTTTTTCTTTCTACAAATCTGCATAATTATGTTCTTCAAACTTCTGGGTTTTATATTTCTTTAAATTTGGTGGGTCTGTAGCCGCACTAGATGAGGTTTTTACCCCATTTCTGTCTTCACCAGAGAGCCGCTAGCTGTGAACCTGCAGAGCAAACATCTGGCCAGAGACATCCAGAGAGTCATCCAGGGCACCAGCTTGAAGGTTACCAACAAGGGCTGCTGCTGGTGAGATGCGCTCCACTGCCCTTTGTGTTCCTAATAAAATCTGAAACCACTTGAATCAGCTTTCTGTGAAACTGACCTTTTTGTCAACTTTAGGAAAACATATTATCCTTTGTGTTGCTTTAACAAGAGATGGCGATCAAAACGAACAGCACCTCTCAGCAGCCCTGTCGATTCTGTTAAGTGTTCGATAAGGGCAAAAGCTGGTGCTATAGAGATTCAATGTAAATCCAGATGGACCTCCTCTTCCAGTGGAGCCTGTCTCTACAACCTTGATACACAATATGTAATGTTCACATGAAAAACAAAAATACCTGCATTTACACTACTTGTATTGATGCTGTTTAACAGTGTCACCTTAGAGTTTCACATGCTACCCTGCATTATCTTAAATGACTGGCATGTGTTGTAGCATGGCGCGTGTTGCCCACTCCGGCATGACTGCAGATGAGGTGACCGAAAACATCGAGGCTGCTGTCCAGACAGCGGTGGCCAAACTACGTACGGTGAGTCTGGCTACACAGAGAATTGTCTTGTGTTTTCGTTATGGTTGGTTTAGCGAGGTGGATAAATTCACCAAAGATAAGTAATGGACTGAGTTCACTGGACTGGTCAGTTTTCTTTTGTTGCTTTTCAGGCTTCTACAGCCATTTTAACTTTTTATTTGCATTATTGTTCAGAAACAGAAAGGACCAGTGATGAAGCTCATCCATATAAAGAGTCAAACGTCAGTGGCCCTGCCCATCTTCACCTCGGACCTGAGCCACCTCAGCGTGCCGCAGGAGGCAGAGAAACACGCTCAGACTCCCAAGAAAAAGGTGAGAACAAGTTCGTACTCAAATGTTCTGAGTATGATTTTGTTGAAACAAAGTGTAAAATAACCTGCTCAATTTCAGGGAGCTGCAGCCAAAAAGCAGGCAAAGAAGAACAAGACAGCGGACGTTAAGCAGCCAGATACCACCGGAGAGCGAGAGGAAGAAATCCCACAGCTGGTTCCCATATCAACACCGAGCAAAAAGCCTAAACTGGAGGTCAGTACCACTACCCTTTGAATATTTCAACACATTTGAACAGTTCAGGCAGTGCTGCGTCTTACTTAAGTGGACTGTAGACACTTACAGCCGTTCTTTCTTGTAGAAGCCAGCCAAAGCGAAGCAGCTGGAGAAAGCACCCAAACCTGCCGCAGTGAAGAAAGGAAAAAAAGCACAGAGCAAACTGACCAAGAAGGCCGGCAAGACCGACTCCAAAGTAAAAAGAAAAGTGCCTAAAGTGAAATGATTCTCAGCAGAGCATCTTTGCACATTACCTTCTCAACATGGACATTTTTCACAGTACACACAGGATCAGATAGATGGTCAATATATTAAGTCTGTTTTGTCTTTTTTTTTTTTTTTTTTTGCTTGAATGAATCGGATCATAAACTTTATCTGAAATCTGTGGCTGTGTTGTGTTCTTTAAATGCTTTTTAACAGTATTTCGCAACATATTTTGATCATAGCAGGGAAAAACCGATGGAGCTAATATTGTTAACGATGGGTCTGTTTCATATATCATACACGAGGACATGAAACTAGTAAAGCTAAATGGAGTGCAGCCCTTATTAATTATACATGTGGTTTTCCTGCTCTGTCAAAATGTCCTATAAATACTTTGTGTAAACTTCATCATAAGCAAGTGGTGATTCATATACTGTTTTAGTTACTTATTTTCTTTTTAATTCCCTCTGAAGGGAGTTAAAGCATCATTCTTGACTTTAAGAGAAATATCACTTTCTTTAAACATTTGACATTTCCTTTTTGATGTTTTACTCTTTCAGGATAGTTATACCAGTCAGGTGTTTCTCAGGAAAACACGTTCTTGGCAGAATGAGTTAACACAGGTAGTCCGTAGTTACTCATCATTGATTCAAGCAAACTTAAAGTAACACTCAGGATGTTTTACATGCTCCAAGAATGCGTTTATCAAAATGGGAGTCGTCTCTGGCTTTGCAGAATGACTTGCTGAACAAAACAGAAAATAGGCTAATATGACGTTTTTAGCTTTTGTTACTGACTGGCAGTTAAGTAAACTGTTCTGCTTATTTACACCTACAACACTTTGATGGCAGTGTTTCATTTTAAAATCATTACTCAGAAGTACCATCAGTAAAGAATATGTTTTCATACACTTAGTAAATATGAACTGTTTAAACACCTTTTGTATACTTCAACATCTGAAGTGCATTAGCCTTGAGAACTGTTTGTTCACTGTGAATCCAGCCATCAAAGCTGGACGTGTACAGTTGCCAGCTGTATCCGATGACATTCCTATTGTTCATGACATTATACCTGGGCTTGTACAGCTGCTTCTCGCAGTATGGGCCCAGTTGCATCCCCTGTGAGGCTTTGCATCTTCACATGTGTCCGTCCTTTATACTGAAGATGCCAAACACATGTTCTGCACACAAAGCTCCTCTGTGACACTGAAATATGAATTTTCCTACATTTCAATACACAGTGTATTTGTTTCGGAGTAACAAGATGAGCACTAGGTGGCCAGCCAATCAGTGGTGATGATATTGTTGTCAACAGGCGGGCTGGGTCTGTCTATTCATCCAAGCCTTCCCCTCTGCTGTGTGGGTGTGGTGTGCCGTCTGGAATTACAGTGTGTTCACGGCTTACTGGGCAGGAGAATGAGCGATCCATCATGCAGCCGCTCTTATTGATCATACAGATGATACCGCTCCTTCATATGACTGGTGGGTGCAATGATTTCCACAGGGACAGGCTGAGCAGGCAGGACAGCTCAAGAGAAGTAAGGGAACAAGTAAGGGAGCTGTGGATGCTTAGTGGCTGGTGTTCATTATTCATGTGGTCTCAGAGGGGAGAAAGAAAGCGGTAACAGGCGTTATTCTGTGGCGCAACCATGGAGGCACTTGGTGAAACTTCATTTCCAGATGACTCTGGGAGTCAAAGCCTGTGTCCAGACCCTCACACGGGCCCCTCGGTGGCCCAAGGTTGGGCCTACCTCCACAAACCTATCATCGTGATGGTAATGGGATCTCTGATGTCCGCTGTGGGCCTTATCCTCCTCCTGCTCCAGTCGCTGGGGGTGACTGAAGCATCCCACTCTGTAGCCTCAGCCTGCCTCTCCATAGGGCTGATGTTTGTGGTGACGGGGCTGGTGTGGATCCCCGTACTGAAGGAGAAGCAGAGGCGGAAACGGTACAGCCAGGAGGCGTGAACAGAAGACTGAAATAACTGTTTGAAAGTGACTATTTTAGTCTGTGACTGTGCAACCATTCACCAACCCTCTGAAACACCCAATACAGTCACAAAGCTGCTGTGGTTCTTGCTGATAACCGCTTGTGTACATTGCACTTTGACCAATGTCACCGCAGGTTGTTTCATGTGTTTCTGTCAGTCAGAGAGGATTACACCTAACTGTCCTGCAGCTGCCAGCACCTGTTGCGTTTGACTGGTTTCCACATCTGGATTAAAGGATTTCTTCTGGTTTGGAGGATCTCCACTACCACCATGTCAACATCTGTACAGCTAGAGCCTGTCATGGAGAGAAGGTATGGAGGAGTTGGCCGATGTAAGTGCTCGTTCTGGTTCGCAGTGGCCCACGACATTCTCGGCGTGTTCATCATGATGGTGGGGGTGTTTGGCGGGCTGGTTATCCACGATTTGTTCATCTATGCGGGGGCTATCATCATCTTCCTCAGCCTGATCTGGTGGGTGTTCTGGTACTCCGGGAACATCGACGTACCACCCGAGGAGCTGGAGGACGACGTGGGCTTGGTGAAGCTCAAGAGCCGTGGACTCAGCCGGGCCGTGAGGCAAGTGTCAGACCGCTTCACCAGCAGGATCAGGAACTCTTTCAGAAAGACCAACAGGTCTATCAGAGAGGGCCCAGTGGGCAACAACAGACCTTCAAACATGGGTACTGGTGTGTCGCTCTCCACTATCTATGACAGCACCATTGCCTCCTCATCTAAAGAACTCGTGAGAGAGACGTTGTCAATATGAACTAACCCATTACAGGCTGTCAATGACGCCAAGAGACACTGAACTTGGATCTGTATATTTGTTGCCTTTACTCGTCAGTTCTGTTGACAGTGTGTTTGCCCTGCTAACATGCGCTAGTAATGATTAGACAACACTGGAGTCTTGTCTAGATAAGATCCAAATGTTCTTATCTAGCTGATAAGATATGAACTTTGCACACAATACACAGTGTTGCAAATGGCTCTGATTACAACCGCAGCATTCACATCATTCACTAGTTTGTAATCAGTCACGTTTGGTTGATTCACAGATTTTGTGCTGACTGTAAATAGAAAAATAAAAGGTTAAATGGCAGATTTGTTATGATGAAGCTGGATCTCATTGTATTGATCTACAGTTGTGGTCAAAAGTTTGCATACCCTTGAAGAATTGGTAATATATACACTATGTGTAAAAAAAAAACATGAGTGAGCAGGCAAAACACATGTCTTTTATCTCTTATGGGATTCACATTGAACTGTAGGTCATAACAGAATGGCATAATCATAAAACATAACATGGTAACAAAGAAAAAAATTAACCGACCCCTGTTCAAAAATCTACATACCATTAGTTCTTAATACTGTGTATTGCCACCTTCAGCATCAATGACAGCTTGCAGTCTTTTGTAATAGTTGTCTATGAGACCCTGAATTCTTGCAGGTGGTATAGCTGCCCATTCATCTTGGCAAAATGCCTCCAGTTCATGCACAGTCTTTGGTCGTCTTGCATGAACAGCACATTTGAGATCTCTCCAGAGTGGCTCGATGGCATTAAGGTCAGGAGACTATGATGGCCACTCCAGAAGCTTCAATTTTTTCTGCTATAACCACTGCAGGGTCAACTTGGCCTTGTGCTTAGGGTCATTATCATGCTGGAAAGTCCAAGAGCGTCCCATGCGCAGCTTCTGTGCAGAATAATGCAAATTGTCTGCCAGTATGTTCTGAAAACATGCTGCATTCATCTTGCCATCAATTTTCACAAGATTCCCTGTGCCTTTAGAGCTCACCCCCCCCAAAAAAAAATCAGTGAGGCAGCACCATGCTTCACAATGGGGATGGTATTCAGTTCACTATAGGCCTTGTTGAACCCTCTCCAAACATGGTTGTGACCATAAAGCTCTATTTTGGTCTCGTCACTCCAAATTACAGTGTGCCAGAAGCTGTGAGGCGTGTCAAGGTGTTTTCAGGCATATTGTAACCGGGCTTTTTTGTGGCATTGGCGCAGTAAAGGCTTCTTTCTGGCAACTTGACCATGCAGCTCATTTTTGTTCAAGTATTGTTATATTGTGCTCCTTGCAACAACCACACCATCTTTTTCCAGAGCAGCCTGTATTTCTCCTGATGTTACCCGTGGGTTCTTCTTTGTATCCCGAATAATTCTTGCAGTTTTGGCTGAAATCTTTCTTGGTCTACCTGACCTTGGCTTGGTATCGAGAGATCCAAGAATTTTCCACTTCTTAATAAGTGATAAGTGTCCGTAACAAGGCCAAACATTCAGGGGTATCTCTGTTATCATTATTGTTTAAAAAGCAGCCAAACAACTATGTCTTCATCTGATCACTATCCTTGAATCAAAGACATTTATTTTGCATGATGACATGATGAGCCATATTTTCAAGATTAATGCCAAAATTTAAAAGATTCTGCCACGGTATGCAAACTTTTGAGCACAACTGTATGACCAGAACATTTATAGCTTTTAACTTTTTTTTATTTCTAACTTTTTTTTAAAGGGCATAAAAGGGCACTAGTGGAAATCAACCAAATACAGCCAGAAGGAAAAGTCGCACAGTTTTTACCTATTCATTTGATCTATGAAGATTAATTTAAACTTCATAATGTCTTTTTTAAATTACACTCACTTTCACACCAAATCAACACCTGGTGGAGCTCTGAGGTTTCGAGTCTCACTATGTGCTTGTGTATTTTGAATGCATGACGATGACAATGGCTTTCACAATATTTATGGTACCCACACACCAATCTGCATCCAGGGGAAGTGACAATAAGAGAAACACAGGGAATCTGTAAGTGTTTCATGAAAACACTCCTACGGTTTAGTTAATGTTGTTAAATAATGTTGCTATGCTTCTGTATAATAAAGAATTAAACAGGAGATGTTTGTGTTCGGGGCCGTAGCAACACCACCTCCCTAAGAAATATTTCACTCGCCACAAAAAAGTTAAAATATTCTGACTATTTAACTTTTTATTTAGTTATTTAACAGTTAGATTTTCTGTGAAATGTATTTCCCTACATCCACCCCCCTGCGACCCTGTACGCAGGATAAGCGGTTGACGATGGTTGGATGGATGGATGGATGGTATTTCCCTACATGTTGCTTTCAAGGCTGTTTCATAGCCATAATACCAAATTCCTTTATGTAAGAAAAGTACTCTCTAAAATGTACTCTGTATTTTTAACAATAGGATACAAACACAAGTAGAAGTGAATTACACAAATTCTTCTATATCAAGCAGTGTGAACTAAAGAGTTATGCTTGCCTTTCTCTGGTTTATGCCAGCGCTTTAACTAAATGATGTATTTGTATGTAAAATGTCACAGGAACGCACATCAGCATTCACACACTTCCAATCACTGATGTTACGACCCGCTCTATTTCCTGAGCCTTTATTTTGTCGCATATAACAAAAGACAAAACTAACCATGTAAAAGCAAAGCACAACAAGTATGATACTATAATTTCACAGACTAAAAGTGCCCAATTCCTGTTCAGAGACTTTTCAAAATAAACTCTTCAGTTACAATTGTCCAAACTGTGGCATCCAGGTAAAACAGAGTTGTCTGAATCACGACAACCTCTTATTCCAGCTCTGGTCGGACAATATCTCCAGTTTGTGAAACATGTAATAAAAATCCAACACAGGCATGCACATGAATACACAGACGCTAAAACCTTAGATTAGATATGGCCAGACAGATCAGAGTGCAGATTTCAGCAGACTTATCAGGTCATCTGATTAGCCCTGCATGTGATACCCATAACTGTGTGCCTTTGTCTGAGTTAGTTGTAGGGAAGAAAATTAAATATCAAATATATTCTGTAGCTGTTCTCTAATTGAAAATTGTTTGTTCTGCTGGTTTAGCTTGTCATTTGCTGCTTCCTTTTCCCCTCACATCCTCTCCTCATAGTGTATACACTGTAGGACAGTTTCTTCAGCACCAAAGCCCCAGCTAATCATAAATTCCAGAAAAACAATTCTGGCATTGACATTTTAACAAGACTAAGAGTCTTGAGTGGTGCATTGAGGCAAATGCCTCATCTTTACACTTCTTAGCTTAGTGTGTTAGCCTGCTAACATTTGTGAATTAGCAGTAAACACAAAGTACAGCTAAGGATGATGGGAATGTCATTAGTTTTGCAGGTATTTGATAGAAAGCGAAGTATTGGACAAATTGAAATTTGACCTGATGATGGCGCTAGGGGAAAAGGTAAGGAGTCATTACAGTGATTAGGCTACAGTTCATCCTAAGCTTGATCCTGCCCCTGAAATAAATAAATAAAAATGTCATTATTAACCATATTTAATGTAATACATGTAAATGAACTGATAAGAACTTTAAAGTAATTGTCAGAAACCACAGGCCAGTGTTAGATTATTAAACTAGTGTGTAGACATCAGAAAGCATATATTTGGATGAAACATTGCCAAAGGGTCAGGGAGGGTTAGTCATTCCTTTCCTTCTGTTATTGACCAGCAAAGAGTTTAGATGCTTTAGTGGTTTAAGCAGGTCAGTAATGGGAGCTGCTGAGGATGAGTGTGATACAGAATCATTTCAGCCACAAGTGGTCAGGAGTGTACAGGTCTGAAGTGTTGACATGATCTTAATGTGTAAATGTCACAGTCTGCACTCAGCTTGTCAATGTCTGAGCCTAAGTTTATTTCTAGCTAGTTTAGTAGTGAACATCATCTGGATCCTGAGCCATATCATCATAAGATTCTTAACAAGAAGCTCCAAGCATTGAACCACCCCTGTCATCATTACTGGTCATCAGTGGGGTTTTCTTGTAAGCAAACAAATAATGTTCACATTAGTATTACTCACCAAAACACACATGTTGGACCTTAACACTCCTTGAGGCCCAACAAATTTTCTGAAAGCATTTTTTCCTCCATGAAACATGCTTTCAAAGCAGATTTTAAATTACTTTCCAACTTGTGTTTCTTGTATCCCTGTTAAAATAGCAGGTCAGTAATAGTATTTGCTGTTTTTTTGTTCATTAGAGGAATACTGTGAAACTGTCATTGGGAATTGTACTGTGTGACTCACATGCTCAAGCGCATACATGTGTGTTCCCAAGCTAGTAGAGCACAAAACACAAACAAAGCAGGCACCCAGTCATCAAAACCTTGCTCCATAGTTCAAGCAGTGATCAAAACTCCACAGGACTCCTGTAATGGAGCTTGCATGACCACTTAAAAACTGGCTGAAACTGAACACACTTTGATTTAGCTGCTTTGCTCCCAGTTTTCTTCTGGTTCATGAGTATCAGATATAAAGAGTTATCGTCACTTACATTTCATTCTGCGATGAGGAAATCCCTGCGATAGTAACAAATGTACATTAATACACCAGTCTTAGTGTCTGCCACTTTATTGTCAATTAATAAATGTTTAAATGTTGACTATGTATGAAAAAACTCAAAACTGCAATAGCTGATTTACACTTCGAGAGTGGTGAGAACAAACAATGAGCAGAAACTGACTAGAAAGCTCAGTGAAGCCGAAGGGAACTGCAGATTTGGGAGATAATTTCCTGTAGGTTCACATTGTCACGTTGTTTTCACATTGTCATTTGAGTCATAAATGTTATAAAAATATCAGTTATAGCTGCTTTAATAATAATTGTTAGCTTATAAGTCATTCTTTGTTATGGTTTCTTCAAGATTGCCTCTAAATAAAAACTGCATTTGATCTTTATCAGAAGGTAAATCTGTTTCCTTTCAGTCAAGTTGCAGCATACTGTTTATTCTGCCTTGTTCACATGAATGTGGTACTACAGATGGATCTGCCTTGTTTGATATCTTGCAGATTGAGACATGTCCTCTCCACCACAAAGGGCAGATATCTCTGGGGGAACACAGAGCTGTGTTTGTGGATTTCATTCTGCAAAGCTACTGTAAAATTTGTTTGTGTGACATTCAAGTAATCATCATCATCATTATTATCTACCTGTCGGGTTGTTCCAGCTGTTCTCACTGGTGCTTCAGGTACCAACTCCTGCCACCTCTTGTATTGCCACACCTGCATCTGTTGCTCTAGCCATTTCGAAACAGCCAGCTCTGAATTCAAGAATGGTGATCCCCGTGCCTGTGCTTTCCCGACAACCACCTCTTCCTCCATTCCAGTCCCTTTACCCCTTTCTCCCTCAATAAACCTCCTTCCCTCCGAACTTTGCATTTGGGTCCTCTCTGTCCCCACACCACGCAATCCCACAACAGAAAGTCCCTCCTGTGTTGTATAAAAGTGTCTTGGATGAAATGGTTAAATGTTTCTAATTTGCATTTGACGATAACAGATTTTACCATGCCATTTTGTATGTTTTTTATGTCACATCATACACACTAACATAAAGGCTAATAGGCCCACATGTAGATTGTTATTCCCTAACTTGTTCCCTTGTACCAATCTGTACGTACTGTCCTGGTAAGTTAGTACGAAATATTACACTGTAAATTACAATGTATTCCATAGAGTTACCAAAACTGTAAACAGCTGGGATTTTTAAACTTTGGTTACATAATTCACAATAAATCAGTGATTAAAACTTTGTTGACAATGTGTCTGAGCAAATAAATCACAAGTTTATTTAAATCAATCAGTTTAATCTGTTATTTAAACCTAATTTACATACAGAATGTTCCACGACCTCACTATAGAATCATACAGAATGTTCCACGACCTCACTATAGAATCATACAGAATGTTCCACGACCTCACTATAGAATCATACAGAATGTTCCACGACCTCACTATAGAATCATACAGAATGTTCCACGACCTCACTATAGAATCATACAGAATGTTCCACGACCTCACTATAGAATCATACAGAATGTTCCACGACCTCACTATAGAATCATACAGAATGTTCCACGACCTCACTATAGAATCATCATGACGCTAATAGAATCGTTCATCACAGCTGAACAATCAGACATCAGAGCTGCAGATTTCAGCCTCTTTGCACCTTTTAGATGTGATATGATTGTTTCCTCTGATTAAGAAAAAAAAAACTTCATTTGATTCTGAATAATTCTTAATCAGGGATTCATTTGTTGCACAGTAGAAATAAGCGGTAAGTTACCAGCAGAGCTGCAGACTTCACACTTGACATAAACGTGTGCACATTTAATCAAACTTGAGAGTTAACTGCTTTAAGCCTTGATTTTGCTCCCTCTCACTCACTCTCTGAATATTAAGTATATATACTGATGCCTATCATGAACAGAGCAATAAACATTGTGAAATGTCACACTCACATCATTGTTTTAATTCAATTTAGTATGATAGTGTCGTATGCAATTTGTGGCTGTCTATTGTCTTTTGTTTTTTTCACATGCGTACATATTGAATAAATTACAAATAAATTATATTACAAGGCTTACTCTTGGCAATTTTCCAGCTGCCATTAATGTCAGTTTTATTGTTCATACTGAAAGTAGTAAAGAGTGTGTGGCTGTGTCATGCTGAGAAGAAGTTTCCGCCTGCAGGACAGAGGGTATTATACAGAGGAGGGAACTCCATCTGTTTGCTACAGGGAGGTTGTGCACAGGTAAGTTGCTGTAGTGTTTGTGTGCACGTGTTTTGGACTGTATGTGCATGTGCTGTGGGGTTAATGCACTATAAAGCTTCACACCTATCAGTCTTTTCTAACCAGTGTTACGTCTTTTAGGATCTTTCGGAAGAGGACCAGTCGTGGCCGTGTTCACCATAATGTGAACTCTATAGAGCATTACACTAGTGTCCGGACCACTGGAACACTGCCCACTCTTACATCAGCTACTGGGACGCAGGCCATTAGGAGAAACATGGGTAGTCAGTGTCTCTCACCTGTAACCACATCAGTTAATAAGAGAGTGCCTCTGTTATCAAGCTGTGAACATTCAGTTTGTTTTTGTCTGCAGTCAGAACAACGTCCAGCTTTTATGCCTGCGGTTTCCTCGGCCTGCTCCTTCTGGCTTTTGGTGAGTGATTTCAAACTTTCTGCTCATTTCTAGAACACAAGTACAACCTGTGACAGCAGTTTTTATTTTAGTCCCCGGTCCAAGTTATTGAGCTCTTCCTTGTTAATATTTCTAACCATTGTGCTTTGTGTCCCCCAGGAATCATACACAACACACACATGCACATGGAAATGAGAGAGGTCCAGCAGAAGGTGCAGTCTCTCAGAAGGCAAATGAACATGTTTGTTCCTCTGGCAAACACAATGCCAAACTTTGCCTTAGAATCACAAGGTAAGTGATCTTCATCACCCATCTGCCTCATCATTTTTCATTCATTATTGCAGAACTTGTTTGGAGGTTGATCTCTTTGTATGACTTGTGTGCATGCAGGTGCCAGAGTTTTACATCAATTATCTTCGGACACATATTGGCCCCAAGAAGACATCGGGATTGTTTGGGATCGAATATTCTGCTGGTGGTATTCATCCAAAGTGCAGAGACAAGTGATCCAGGTAGGAGTTACACAGCTACGTTCACTCACTGTTTGACAGTCGATAAAAATCACACATTTCAACTTCCATTTGAAATAACACGGAGAAACAGTAGTAGTTTATAATCTGTGGAGAGTGAGATGTTTCTTTTGCTCCCCTCAGGGACATTCATTACTACGTCCAGGAGAATGCTGGCCCTTTTCAGGCGACCGAGGGCATCTATTCATCTCCCTGTCCCACCCAGTCTCCATCACTCACGTGACACTCAGCCACATAACAAAAAGCCAGTCCCCCTATGGCCACATCGCAAGTGCACCGAGAGAATTTTCTATCTATGTAAGTCCCAGATTTTCTTTCAATTTCTTAGATACACACAGCGCACAATGAAAGGTTCAACTGGTCTCTTTTTCTTCTCCAGGGAATGAGGACCACAGATGAGGAAGGCACCTATTTGGGAACACTAGTTTATGATCAAGACGGTGCAGCAGATCAGACCTTTGAACTGCCTGTGAGTATTAAATATGTGATACAGCATAGCTCTCATGAGCAGTTATTTTTTAATTGGTCAAATTAAAAACAGCCTTGGCATTAAGAGATCACTGCACTATATATGGCTTTTTATGGAACAACAAGCAGAGATGAGTTCTTCTGAGAATAAAACCTCTCGCTGCCATATTAATTGTAGTAAAACTAACTATATTATGGATAGAGTTGGAGCTGCTATTAAAACTAGAAAAATTGCATTTTTTGCGGAAAATGTGTGTGAATGCTGAAAGCTGAAATCAATTTGCAAAATACTGCAGAAAATGAAGAAGAGCTGAAATGAAATGCCTTAAACATTCCAAATGCATTTCATTGCACTGCTTAAGATCTCAGAAGCTGCTGAACTAAAGAACGACACCTGAAACATGTTGTTAAATAGCGGAAAACTTAATTGTTAAACTGCCAACGCTGGAAGTTGAAATTAGTTAGTCAAAAGAAAAAATACATAGAAGAAGTTGGGAGAGAGACAGACAGCGACAGAGAGAGAGAGAGAGTGGGAGGCAGACAGAGACAGTTTGGGGTGCACTCAGTCCTAATAACAACAGATGTCAGAAGCATCCCATTGAGACCCTAGTCAAAGAAAGACTCCCACAAATGCACATAGGGCAGAATTAGGGTGGTTTCCACTAATAACATATACCCAAAAAATTGCACTTAACTTCCTGATGCACCTTCATCAAGTCTCCAAGACTCCAATTCAAGGCTCTTAAAATACAAGTCCCTTATGCCAGCTAGTAAAGCTAATACTAGATGTTTCAATCCCTTTAGTAGGAAACTCTTGACAGTAGCAGTCGGTGTGAAGTGGTGAAAAGGGAGGGGAGTAAGGTATGTCATTGGAGTCATCAGATGGGCACCTTGCTTTGTCAATGTTTCGCTGATTTAAGCTTCTTATGAAGGTCCACTTCCAGTTTCCAATCCCGCGCTGATTGCAGGATGCTTGCATCCTTAGGTGTTGTGTAATACTCTTGATGTTGACCAGCTGGTCTGAAATTTGTGAAGTTGACCTGTCCTGCTGATGTTTGTGGGAGGTTGTTTGTGGTGGTTCGCTTCTGATCCAGTATTGATGCTGGCTCTCTGAGTACTTGTTTTTTGCCGCCAAATATAGCGCCCTTGGGTGAGACTTGAAGTGCACCCTGTGCCTTAGGGATGCAGGTACTTGACACAGGGGACAGGCAGGATCTTCTCCATACCACGCTTTCAGATTTTGGGGGGAGGGTAGCAGGTCGTATGTGGCTCTGATGACAAAACTCAGCCGCGCTCCCTCCATCTGCCAGATGTCGCGCCAGCCAGGCTTCTTCTTCTCCAGGCCCTCCCAGTTGGTCCATCTCCCCTGCTTGGCCATTGAGACGGCTTTGGCATGTCGCTCTCCTTCCTCCTGTCTCCTGACTTCTTCTACCACTAGCTGTTTCTTCTGCGCCGATGTTGCTTTGTGCCACAGAGGAGTTTTTGAGATGAGTCCGAACCCTGCCCTCCCATGCTGTACTTGTCCAACCACATCTCTGAAGTGAAGCGCAGACTTTGCAATCTGAACAGCTTCTGATGGAGTCCACTTCCTTCTCGCTACCACCCAGAGAGCTGCTATTCAAATGACTGCATCCTCAGATTCTGTAAGGGTCATGACAAGCCTTACTTTGGTGCATTTGAACTCTTCCATGAGCCCTGTGATTAGTAATTCCAACTTACCATGTCCATAAAGTCCAGAACTTAAACAACGTGGAACTCCAAGCCATCGCTTTAGCTGTGTGCTTATCAGCCGTTCCAACTTTTCAACCTTTGGTGATGGGGATCTCATACACAGTCAATGGCCACAAGAGTCTTGGGAGTCTGCCAAACTGAAAGAACCACAACTTGATTTTTCCTGGCAACAAGATCTTGTTGATGCGGTCCATGTATATGCTGGTATCATTTTTTATTTGTTCAAACTGATCTGTGTCTTTGAACTTCGCATCATACCATCTCCCCAAGCTCTTTACCGGTATTTCTGAAACTGTTGGGACAGGTGTTCTGCCAATATGAAATCTTTGGTCTGTGACTTTGCCATTTACGATGAAAATGCTTCTGCACACTGGGTTTTAACTTCATCCTCGCCCATGTTATATTTTGATGAAGTTTCTCCAGCAGTTTTTGGTGCAGGGGACAGTTGTTGTGAGTGTTGTTAGATCGGCCATGTAGGCTCGAATTGGTGGTAACCTCTGATTACATTGTAGTCGTTCTCCTCCCACGACCCATTTCGAGGCTCTGATAATGATCTCCATTGCCATCGTGAAGGCCAATGGGGAGATGGTGCACCCAGCCATGATGCCTACTTCTAGTGGTTGCCAACTTGTGGTAAAGCCTGATGTTGTGACGCAAAACTGTAGATCCTGGAAGTAGTGTTTCACTAGATTTGTGATTGTGGTTGGCACCTGGAAGAAATCAAAGGCAGCCCACAGAACTGAATAAGGGACTGAACCATAGGCATTGGCCAGATCGAGGAACAGAACGTGGAGCTCTTTCCCTTCTTTCTTTGCAGTCTGGATTTGATGCCATATGATGCTGTTATGTTCAAGGCATCCCAAAAAGCCTGCGATGCCAGCCTTTTGGATTGATGTGTAAATGAAGTGGTTTTGTTTTAAATACTGTGTCAGTCGTGACAACACACTGAAAAATATTTTGCCTTCAATGTTCAGAAGGTTTATCTGGCGGAACTGTTCAATGGTGGATGAGTTCTTTTCTTTTGGGATGAACACTCCTCCTGCTCTTCGCCAGGCTTTCAGGATGATTTGCTTGTCCCACACCACTTTCATGTTTTTCCACAGGATTTTCACAACATCTGGAGCGTTCTTGTAAACACTTATACGGTACGCCGTTAGGGCCTGGTGCAGATGCCGATCTTGCCTTTTTCACTGCCTGCTTCACCTCAGCTCAGCTTGGGAAGGCTGGTATCAAACTGATGTTGTGGGGGTGATATTGGAGGGATGTCAGTGGGGAAAACGATTGGTTCATCTTTTTTCTCATCAGTGTAGATGGTTTTCAGATGCTCTTCAATCGGGTCTTTTGATGTTTTCAGGGATCCATTCTTCTCCTTTGTGAATATGCCTTTCACAAATTTAAAAGGTTCTTTGAAGAAGTCGGTTCTGGCCTTTTCTTTCTTCTTCCGGTGCATCCATAGGCTTTCTGCTCAGCGGAGTTTTGAGAGCCTGTACTTTAGGTCCTTTTGAAGGAGGGTAGTGCCTTCCTTTTCTTCTGTCATCGCCTCTCTCCACAACTTTCTTAGCTGTTGCCTCTCTTTCACAATTTGTTGAATTTCTTTCAGTCGACGGGACGTGGGGGCGGGAAGCATATGCTCTGTCCTTCCACATTTCTCCTCTCCGTAGCTGTAGATAAGGTCACCCATTTTCTCCAGCTTCTTCTCAGCTGATCCTTTGATGTTACTTAGGATAAGTCTGTATTGATCGTTTCCCACTCCTTGGTGTTAGACTTTGGCCATTCGGGGATCTCATACACAGTTAATGATGAGAATAACAAATCCTGCAACATGTCACACACACCTTTCTCAAACCAGCACTGCTTTACAAACACCATTTAGTGTCAACCAAATTATTAATCAAAGCAAAAATACTTATTTAGAGCATTGGGAGAAGGACACAAAAAAATAACACAAACTAGATTTTTATCTGGCCATAAACAGAAATTGTGAAATGGCTGGATATCTCTCTACTGTTAGAGATATAAAGCAGAGGCAGCTTCTTACAGACTCTGTGACCACGCCCTTGCAAATGCAAAAGGAAGACATCAAAAGTCTAGTTAGTGTGAATGCTGACTCAGCATTAACACTAACTAGATGCAAGACATGCAGACATCATGTGGTTAACACAAAAACTGTCATCTCTCTGATGTCCTATCCTCTACAATGCCTGACTATCTTTATTTATTTCTCTTTCGCTTCTCTTACCAGAATCCAGACAAAGGAGTCTTCAGGTATGTGAAGCTACAGATTGAGAACAACTGGGGAAACATAGACAACACCTGCCTCTACAGCTTCAAGGTTCACGGTAAACTCCCGTCTAAAAGCACTGTTACTTAACTTGGAGAGAAGTCTACAGAAGGGAGGCGGGGAGGACCTCATGTCATGTTTCCATTGTCCTCTTCTTCATGTTAAGTATAATAATAAATGCACTCATCTCCATCTTGCAAAAGTACATACTGGTCATGTGTCAAATCCAACATAAAATAAGTATTACAACTGAACTTACGGGATCTTGGGTTCAGAGCAAAACAAACTTCTGTGTTGTATTCAATCAGCGTATATATCAACAACCTGCCTTTTGGCTTTCTCCTACATCAACAATTATTAATCAGGCACAAATTTTTCACTATTGACTTTACTAATTTAAACTGATGAAGTTGAAGTGATCCTTTGGGCAAAAATATTTGCAATGAAATAATTTGCAGCAATTAAAGCATAATACAAAATGATTGAATTAATATAACCACAAGGTATACAATTTAAATGTATCTGACAGTTAAATGTTTGAATATTTAAAAGCAGTTATAAGAAAATAAGCTGAAAATGGTTCAGTATCTTGCGAGGGTAAGAAAGGACAAGTAAAGGGTAACGTTTACATTTCTAAAACAGTGGAAAACTTTTGCAGCACTTAGAATGACTCCATATCTGTTTGATGTTTAAGCCCAAAATAGGTGGTCGTTTACAATGGTTCCCTCCTCTGTGCTCCTCTGCAATGCCTCAGTCTCTTTCATTTCTTTAGATGCTATAAGGGATCACCCTTCATGGTGCTAGATATGGCTAAATAGTGTCAGCAGTTGCTCTCTAACATCACCTCTGCTTGTCATTTCTTCCACAACAAATGTTCAAGCACAAATATGCATGTAACTTTTTCACAATAAATGGGCTGTAAATATCAGACCTTCCTGTCTGTCCTCTATCATTCAAGGTAATACTACTCACTATGCATGTCTATTGTCTTAAGTTAATGTAGCATAACAAGGAGTTGGACATATTTCAGAAATTTAAAGGGGCACTTCAAAGAAAAGTTGGGTTTTTAGGAGAAAAAAACCTGTGAAAACAATTGTTTAATATCTTTGTTCTCATGATTATCACAGCTACAGCCTAGTGACAAAAAAAATAAAATAAAAACAGAAAGCCTTTGTGGGTACATGGAGTTTGAAAAATGTGTACATGTACAAGGCAGATTTGAACCATTGGACCATTGTTTTTTAATCGTGGTGCTCCAGCTCAATGGAAGGGCACAACTAAATCAGTGGAGTGATTTAGTATGAAATAATTACATTATTGACAATAGCCTTATCAATTGCTTGAAAGATTATGAAGAGTGCAGTGAGATAACTTTTGTCATGAACTGACTTTATATAAATCAAATTATGCATTTTCTTTGTAAGATATGATCTAAGAGTTTGTTGTGCAGTGGGTTCAAGGAGTAAAGCTAAAATTGAGGGAAAAAGTAAAGCTTGTATTCTGTTGACTCAGTCTCCTACAGTGCAGGTACTTGTGTTGTTTTTAATAATGCGCATTTGTGGTTTTTGAAGACATAAACTGACACAGTGTAGATACTTGCCCTATTATGAAGAATAGGATGAATAATGCTCAGCTCGAGGGAGAGACTGCTCAGACAAACCTCATGAAACCACGTGATTGTGACCATGACCGCTATCTTTCACTAACCGCAGAGTAGTTTTATTTCCCTTAATCGTTCCCTAATCATGCTACCTTCAGGGTGAACAGTGGTCACAAGTTTTATGAACTTTGTCCTTGTTCCCACTGTCTCCCAACCATAATAACCACAACACACCGGCTACGGCGAGCGCGCAGGGTCTATTTAGTGGAAAGCTTTCCGGTGTCCCACTGTCAACACTTGGTCCGAGCTGCTGCTGAGCAACGACGATGTCGGAGCAGGAGTCTCTGAGGTGCTCCAGTGCCAGAAACCGTGGAGGCGTACAGAGGGTCGAAGGAAAACTGCGAGCCAGTGTAGAAAAAGGGGATTACTATGAAGCACATCAGATGTACAGGACTTTATTTTTTAGGTAAGACTCCGTTTCACGCTCGTTAGGTGCAGTTGGAATTGCCATTTGGCTTTGGGGCCTGCCTGTTCCAGATCATTCTGCTGTCAACCTTGCTTCTACCCTTGGCCGTTTATGATTGGGTTACTCTCACCGTGGACCCGCCCACTCACGTTGGTCCGTGTATTTGTGTGGACAGCTGCCGTGCCAATCTTCTACAGCCTCAAAATGGGATTGTATAAACTACGGCTAGTGAGTTAGCTACGTGTGTAGCAACACAACTAATGATAGCCGGAGCCGAGTTAACTGAACTGCTGAGGCAAGACGGGCAGACAGTCTGTGTTTATGCGTTATTAGAGAAGATATGTCACATGTAAATTATCAGAAAATATCGGCTAACTGCGCTGTTAACCGCTGTCATTTCATAAACGTGTGTAGAAGCTGTCCAGCTGTGTTAGCATTTAGCCTGATAGCCACATACTGCACCGCCGCAGTCTGAGCTATATGATGGCTAGACATGTCCTTTCTTACTGCCTGGTTTATTTATTTAGTATAGCTGTTTATGCTTAACTTACATGACCCCTGGGATCTGTCTGAGATAAGTCTAGTCAGAATTAGTTGTGGTCTGTTTCCCAGTGTCTGTCCATTTCATTAATAGAAATAGACATGTAACAGTTACACATTCATACGCTTTTTGTTGATGTAACGTCACATAACTGCTGATTACTCCCAGTAGAGAAACTTGGGTGCTGGTCTGGGGGATGAATAGATTAGTTGTGCTGCCAATCTGATTGGCTGTCAGCCTCAAGCATAGCATACTAAACAAGGTGATTTGTTCTGAATCCAATCCAGTTAAAGCCAAATCTCCATATCACAGACTGAGTTTGGTACCCTCCTGCTTCTTCGTCAGTGGTTTACTCTTTCTCATGACTAACTCATTGCAATAGTCACATTGATACCTCATTTTGTACCTCAAGCAGAACTGCTGTGCATGCATCTTATCTTTCAGCCCCATGTGGAAATGAAGTGATGTAAATTAAGCTTGTGTTGGTCTTGATAAGCAGATGGCATCATGTCATGTCACTCCTGACACTCCTGTCTTCCATCAGGTACATGTCACAGGCAAAACATGCCGAGGCCAGGGAGCTGATGTACAATGGCGCTCTACTCTTCTTCAGCTATAACCAGGTACATGCTACACTAGATTTCTACATAGCTAGCCTGGTGCTCCAGGTTCGTGTCAGGTGGTAAGTGTGCACATGTTCATGGAGACGCCTCATATAGGCAAATGGTAATGTCATGTTTCAAAGTAGCTGGGTTGGTGTTGTCTCCTTTTGTATAATTGTAATACCAGAGTAGCGTCTATAAGCTTGTCATTCACAAGTTAAATAGCACATGTAAAAATAAAACATTTGTATGCGGTCCATCTTTGTGTGCTCCAAAAGCCAAGGATGACATCAGATTATTACTGGTCAAACTTTATATAAACAGTGTTTTGAGAGTGCTGTACATGTGAATGCATTACCAGGTTTACAGCCCTAATGTTAGCATCCACACAAAAATCAGATTTTGGTGTGCATGTGAAAAAGACAGGAGTCAAATAGATGCCCGTTTGCCAGTTGGATGATGAATTCATGATAGATTGATTAAACTTCTTCTTCCAGCCCTCAAGGTGCTCATGTAAAATATTGAGATGATTGCATTAAACAATTAAAAATGCAATTGGTTGTGTTTTTCATCTCCAGCAAAACAGTGCAGCAGACCTGTCCATGCTGGTTCTGGAGGTGTTGGAGAAATCTGAGACAAAAGTTGAAGATGAAATATTAGGTGAGTGGCAGCCTTCAGCCTATAAAATACACCAATTCATCTATAAGACTACCTGTGCTAAACTGTACATTTTGTAATGGGTTGTTTAAGAGGGCATCATTGCCTCTGCAGCATTAAATTGTCATGACATTAAAAGGGCAGCACAATAGGACATTTCAGATCAGAAGGGACATTCTCTGATGTAGTGGGTGGGTGTGTGTGTGTGTGTTGAGCAGAAAACCTGGCTAAGCTGTTCAGCCAGATGGACCAGAACTCCCCAGAGAGAGTAGCGTTTGTGTCCAGAGCCTTGAAATGGTCCACGGGAGGGTCTGGCAAGTTGGGTCACCCAAAACTACACCAGCTGCTGGCTATCACTTTGTGGAAAGGTAATCAATTAATCATTCAGTTTATAAAGTGTAGATGATGATGATGAGAAATGCTTATCACAATATTGAATGTAATGATATAAAAGGCTGCAACTAATCACTATTTTCGTAGTCGACTAATCTGTTAATTATTTATTCGATTAGTTGACTAGTCACGATTATTTTTGTCCCCACATAACCATAACCTTAATTAAACAATTTAAATAATTAAATATCTTTCAAGTGAATTTCTGATCTCCAACAGACAGCCTAACTAGCTAACGTTACCATTAAGTGAACGAGGTTTACTATTCAGAATGAACACCAGTATCAACACCAGGGGGAAACCAGGGAAGAAGACGAGACAGCATAGGCTACTCCTATAATTCACTGATTTATACAAACTTTACTGTTTAACACAGATTTTTGCTCTGGAACTATATAAAATGAAAGCAAATTAAAAGCAAGTACTATAACCACAACTGTACACTAACAATGTAATGTCTATTTAGAACAATAAAGCAACAGTCCCCTTTCATTCTACTGCTGTAGTTTATTTTTCAAAAGTGCTTAAGTTTTATAAGTGGAGACTGTTCTGTAGGCTACATCACGAGCCCATGTACTTTAAACCATTACTCATTACTAATAACTGTTTAAAAGCTGGGTCTCCGACATGGACAGATTTGTGCTGCGGTGTTTATGAGAGAGAGAGACGAGCGAGAGGATGTGCTGCGTGAATGCGCTACGGCACTGATCTGCAATCAAATAAGATTTTAAATATGCCTAGTAAAATTAAAAAAATGAAAATCAGTATGTGGCGGTCAGTGTTGATATTATGGCGAGCCGCCACAAATAAATGAACATTGCCTTTCCTTTGTCTCTGCTGCTCTGTTGTTGCTGCTGCAATGGTCTGAGCAACTGGGACCAGAGGGCTCTGTGGGTGGGACTGGCATCGGCCGGCTGCCACCGCTAACCCCGCGGGCACTTGCGGAGCTTCTCAACCCTGAAAACGTTTGGGCACATTTTCAATTCGCCATCAACTTTGGTAAAACTGCCAATATTCAAGTTCTACACAGTTGATTTCTCAACTCAAAACAGCTCGGAGGTGTATTTAATGATGAAATAGCGCGCGCAAAAAAAGTTCTACTTTCTCCGCTTCTTTACGTTTCTCGCATGAAGGCTTCTTCTTCATGAGTAGTCTTAAAGTCAAGCAGTCATGGCAGACAGTGGAAGCGATACAGCCCCCAGCACTTCCTGTAGTGCATTGCAGTTAGAAATAAACAACCAGAAATGTTCCTAAGATGAAGATCGATATCTCTCCCTTAAACGGCATCTCTGTAACAATGCGTCGACAATGAAATTTCATGTCAACGTATTTTTATAGCTGACGTCGTCGATTACGTTGACTAATCGTTGCAGCCCTAAAATAGATATATAAAACAGAGATGGTTGAGAAGCTGTAACCAGCAAATGTTAAGTATTTGTACTTGGTAATTTTGAAAGTATTTGAGTCTCTCAAGTAATCTCATCAATTATCCACATACAGTATCTGCATCAGTCATAGTCATAAAGATGCACAACACAGGACTAACAAATCCAACTGAGGCTACATGTAGCAAATTCTCCATTTTAAAACGAAAACGCAGTAGTGTGGAAGTAGCCTAAAGGGCAACACACAATGGCAGCATATGAGGTGCATCAAAGCACCCATGCCTGTTGTTTTCATTGTAAAGTGCAATTTATACTTCTGCGTCAAATCGATGGCGTAGGTGACAGCGTAGGCTACGGTGCTATGCAGAGGCTACGGCGTCGCCTGACGTGCACCTCCTTCAAAATGTAACTACACGTCGAGTTGATGTGGACCGTAAGCTCTGTAATTGGTCGGCTGGGTAGCCTCGCAGTGCCTCCGAGCCGACCGGAAGTACCCCGCGCTTTAAAGTTTTTTACTAGCGGCAAAAATGGCGACTGTAACACAGTGAATCAATATATTTGACCATCGCAAACTGAGCGAAATGACTCATTTCGCTATCAGAATGTGATCCATTCGGTCGGTAACATTTGAAAAGGCTACACCAGCCGCACGTTTACAATTTTACCCCCATTTACATTAGCTCGGCCGGCATAAGTCAACACAGTGGACGCTGTAGCGCTACTGCCGACTAGCATTTGGGGGTGTAATTGCAGAATGACGGACAGACCTACGTACAAGTATAAATGCATGGCTACGTGCGTAGCCTATGGCGTAGGTACGCATGTAGACCCTATGCAGGAGTGTAAATGGGCCTTAAGCCCACACACCTGCAACATCATGATACACGTCAACCTGCGTTACAACAGGCCGCTGGCCTCGTTCTCAGCAGTTACAGCTGTTAACTCTCCAGGGAAGCAAGACTTTTATTCCCTTCACTCTCTATATTGGCACATCCTAGCTTCCATACTTCGGGACTAATTCTTATGTCTGCATGGCATATCTGGTGTGTGCTATGAGTGTGTGTTGCCCTTAGTATTGTTCTTAATGTGCAAGATGCCCTGTCTCTCTATTTAATATCCTAACACTTAGAATATTTTTGTAATATCTTTTTGTGTTCAGAGCAAAACTACAGTGAGTCTCGTTACCACTTCCTGCATTCGTCTGATGGAGAGGGCTGTGCACAAATGCTGGTGGAGTATTCGGCGTCACGAGGCTTCCGTAGCGAGGTCGACATGTTTGTGGCGCAGGCCGTCCTACAGTAAGTGAAGTGTCACTCCTACATTTTAAAATAGAGCTGCAACGATTAATCGATTAGTTGTAAACTATTAAGTTAACCTCCAACTATTTTGATAATCGATTTCATCACCTCTCATGTTGAGTTAAACATAAAACCCCCCCCCCGAAAACCCTCAATCTGACAGCTGGAATGAATGCAGCATTGGTCTGCAATGTTCAGTAAAAGTAATTTTTAAAATTAGATTTAAGTTGTAGTATTCCGAAGTTGTATGTGTGGAGGATAATCTGTTGTTGATGCAAACTCCTCCAGCATGCTGGCCTGCTTTTATAACTACTTTCTGTCTGCCCGCAGCTTCTTTAAAGTGTCTTTGATCTCTGTATTTCTGCTGTACCATCTCACTCCCTTTACTTTCTGTAACGTTTTCTTTCCCATCTTCTCCTTTCGTCTTTGTCCTCTGCCCCTTTTTCTATTTACGTCCTCTTCTCCTCCCCCTCCAGGTTCCTCTGCTTAAAGAACAAAAACAGCGCTTCCGTGGTGTTCAGCACATACACAGAGAAACACCCGTCCATACAGAAGGGCCCTCCCTTCGTCCAGCCTCTCCTAAACTTTATCTGGTTTCTGCTGCTGGCAGTGGATGGGTGAGGAAAAATGTTTTATCTAACACTCAAGAATGTTGTATAATAATGTCTTGTATGTATGTATGTTTTATTCTGTTGTATATCTGTACAGACTCTTTTAGCGGTCTGTCCCAAGCGTAATAATAATAATCTATCATTAGCTGACTTGTTACTGACGTCTGCTACTTCTCTAGTACTGTACGGCAGTAAATAGTTTGTGTTTTGAAAAAAAGATTGAGGATAGTAATTTTTGTTTCCTCTCTTTGTTTACCCAGGGGTAAATTAACAGTTTTCACAGTGTTATGTGAGCAATATCAACCTTCCCTGAAGAGGGACCCCATGTATAATGAGGTGAGCGTTAAAACGGCTTTATGCCCAGTTATTTCTTCCCATGAATACACTATTATAATTTGGCTATAACCTTTTCTAGATGTGTCTTATTTAAAATATTGTCTTGTTCATTTTATGATGGAATATTTCAGTCTATGTAAACATTTCCACTGCCTTCAGCTGTAATTTTGTGACATATCTTATTCACAAGTCTGTCTCTCTGTTTTCCTTTTCCTCTTCATTTGGACATCTTCCTGGCTCCTCAGTATCTCGACAGAATAGGACAGGTTTTCTTTGGCGTTCCACCCAAACAGTCCCCATCATACGGTGGACTGCTAGGTGAGTGGACCAGGACTTGTTTCACTTGAGCAGATGTTAAGGATTATTGACACATGTATTTTTGTGCCCTGTATGAGTTGACATAACTCTTCACTGTGAATTGCACTTTTCAGCAGTATACTTAAAGATTATATTGTCTCAAGTTTTATGTAATGATGGGTTTATTATAGACATTAAAGAATTAGTTTGAATTAGAATGATGATCAATTAGTTTGAATTAGAATGATGATCACTGTGTTGCATCCTGCAGGAAACCTGCTGAACAGCCTGATGGGTTCGGGCGAGGAGGATGACGCGGCTGAAGAGGCCCAGGAGGACAGCAGCCCCATAGAGCTTGACTGAGCCCGCCCCAGGACAAAGAGAACAAACGAACACACACAAAAAAAAAGAGGAAGACCACACCGCCTCCCTCCTTCACCTCCACAACAAGGGCAGGGCGAGGCGCTGGCCCGTATTTTCAGAGGCGTGCTGTTTCCAAAAAAACCATCCCACACATAAAATCAGAAAAATCAGGCCGCCAAAATATCCCTCTCAGCACTGCCGGGACTGACTGCTCCAAACTGCAAACTCTTCCCGTGTTGATTTATTGTGAGATTATATAATTTTATTTGAATTATTATTTTTGTTAGTTTGGGACTCTTGCTCTGTTTAGGGTCTATGGTTTTTAAACACGAGGTGACAAACTGCCCTCTCCTTATAAAAACTCCCACAAGATGGGAATGGTTGGAGTCTCCCAGTGGATCCACACATGAAACCCCTCTTCATAATGTTGTTGAGTACATCACTATAAGAGGGTCTAGTGAACTCACTACAACTTTCCAACTGTTTTGTTTGCCAGACGGCTGAACGAAGCTCCATTAGGGCCGTGGTGTTGCTGCTGTTATTATTTTTTTTTTTAAACAGCCTTCTCCGTTAAAAGTTTCTTCTTTGAGTAGTGATTCAAATTGTACTTGTAGTCATTTTCTCATTTCTTTTGTCCATTAGCTATATGGACAAAAGGACAACAGAGCCCTCTTTAAGTTATTATCAGAGGTCATCATGCACCTTGAATATCAACCAAACAAACCCTGTCGCCTCAGCGTCTCCTTCAAAGATCATAGTGGTGGCTGTCATTCAAGTGAATTAGTGCAAACACAGCTGCGAATAGCAACATTTTAGAGGCCCCACTTTTTTATTGTGCACTTGCTGAACCGCTGCTGAGCTTGTTTGCATCTCTTTTTGTTACAGTTGCCACATCATTAAAAAAAAGTCTGGCAGTGAGGTGTTGGACGCACTTCAGAGTTTGTGTTTTGCTGGTTGTTTGGCTCTGGCTGTCTACCTGTCGCTGTGAAAAATAAAAAGTCAAAGCTGGGGTTACCTTCCAAGTCTGTAAAGTGATCTTTATTAGAGGAGCAACATGAGACACTGTGAAAACCTGTTGAAAGACTGTTGGAGTGAATCTTGCTTTTTAAGTAAAAAATGCTAATATCTATTTCTGGCTTAGTCTTTGGTTCCATCCTTTTAATTCCCATCAAACAATTCCTCTTAGAGGTGGATTAGTAGTGCAACATCAGTTCAGCCAGTGCACAATCAGAAGTGTGATTCATGCAATAGCTGCTGTTTATCAGTGTCATCAGAGAACACACTCACTCTGCTCATTCAACTTGACAGCTTTCTTTTATTTTTTCACACCATTCAGTCTGCAGCCCTTTTTTGTCCTCTTGGTGACATTCGATCAGTCCAGGTCTTGTCAGGCTGCTGTTTTGCTCCAGATAATTTTTAAAAGGGGTAAAATCCCCCCTGTGAAGTTAAATTTAACAGTAGGAAACTAGGAAAGTCCTGAAGTCTTCCAACATAGAGTAATGTTTATTTACTTCTATGTAATTATATGTGTGGGACTACGGAACACCAAAATGGCCAATACTAAATGATGAAATAAATAATTGCATGAATCAAGAGTAAAATATATAAATGAACCAATAGATAGCTTGGTAAAACACTGATCATTTTTGGGTAATAGTAATTTAAATTATATACTGATGAAAAATTAAATAAATAAAAAACATAAAATTAAAAAGGATGAAATAATTCCATAAAGATTTGTTGCTTTAAAATTTATTTAATTACTACCCACATTAATTGCTTTCCTATAAAAATTTTACTCTTTTACTTACAGGATTATTTGTTGCATCGTTTCATAAAATGCTGGCTTAATATTGGCCATCTTGGCATGCTGTATGGGACTGACGGACTCTGTGTCAATAGTGCTACAGAGGACCAGATAGAACAGTGTTGAGTTGTCAGTGTACAAGCTCTGCCGTCACTGCATCTGTCTAATGTTGGTGTTGAAGGTACTGAGAAAGAGCGCAGTGACGTGGGAAACAAAGCTTTAACAGCAGCGGTAATCAGAGATTGGAGGAAAAAAAAAAAAACAACAACTGCAAACTAATCTTTAAATGACTCCACGTTAACAGTTTTGTGTTTACTTATGAAAAGTCCCATTTCTGAAATAGGAGGATTCTTTCTGGTGGCCGGCTAAAGGGAAATCCTGTTAACACTGACTTTTAGGTTGCTCAAGAGTACACCATTTTCCAAAGAGATCAATCATTTAAGCAGTATCACACAACATGCTCTACTGCTCATATCGCACAAGTTCAAAAGAGTAATTGTTAAATTTCTCCTTTTATTTATCTGGTAGTAAAAAAGGTGTGACCAAAGTCCTGTCTGTGTCAGTGAACAACACAACAGCTGCTGGCTTTTGATAATTATTTTCCTTTGAGAAGTAAAGGGAAGTGTTTGCCTTTTTGATGATTCACTAATTGACTAAATAAACTGAGAAGAGTTTGAGAATGTCTTGAAACAAACATTGTCCTGTTCACTTTTTGGTGCGTCATTGTGTGTGTGTGTGTGTGTGTGTGTGTGTGTGTGTGTGTGTGTGTGTGTGTGTGTACCAGGAAACAAAACAATACCCAGTTGATATTAGATATTTAATAAGCAAAACATTAATTAGTATCAATGAGACGGGCTGTTATGTTAAAAGCTTTATACTTATATAAAAATAGATTCCTACTCATAATTGATGTTTAAATGCAAAGAAAGGTGAATATTTATTTCTACAAATGCACATATTAAACAGATAATACATTGTATAAATTGCATGCATGCTACTAGATTATGTAGCAATACAGATAACTGTTTTTTAAGGTGCAGGGGAAAACTGCAGGTAACAACGCAAGTGGAAATGACAGCAAAGCTTGAGCTTGCAGTACTGACAGATGTATAACTGCCAAAAAAAACAAAACAATGAATGCTGCAGCAGCGAGTTTTCCAGTGATTGAAGTAATTTTACTTTGAAATTAGGCAAAAACTTTGCAGATATGATGCTCTTTTTGTATTAAAGTCACCCACCTGCGACAGAAAAGCAGTATACATGCAGAGAAATGTCATTTGTCTCCCTTCGCAGACTTTGAATCATTTGATCCTTCAGTTAAGGGTTTGGTAGCTTGTTTTAGTTCATCTGACTCCAATTTTGACACTAAAAATGACAAATGAAGAAAACTGAATGAACTATTTAATTAAAGGTTTCAGTTTGTCCTATGATAGTTTAATTACGTGCTATATTTAGGCTTGAACATTGCAAAGACAAGGAGTTTTGGCACAAGAACAGCTTTCTGTTACTTCAGTCTACAGGTATCCAAACTGTAAATATTTAGTACCAAAATGTAAAATGATGTATCCAAAGGTGCTTTTTATCCAGTCACACCCTTTCAAATGTTCACAAAGTGTCCTCACGCAAAATACATTAAGGCATATTTTTTTTCTTGTACTTCTTGTTATCTTTTATTTATACAAACATTTTACAAAGTTTGTTGAGGGTGATGTTCAGGTGCGGGACTGCAGTGCCAGCCTCTGGACTGTGTCTGACAGGTGACTCATGTCAGGCAGCTGAGCTTGGTGTTTGATGTACTCCAGGGTCCGAACCTGGAGCGGAGACAGGAAGTCAGTACGCTGCGTTCACAGCTTTTAAAAAAACAAAAACAAAATGCAACTGTAATCTGAAACGGAGTACTCACTGACATACGGGTCTCACAGTATCCGTGTTTGTGGCTGAGGTTCCACAGGTTGATGGCCAGCTGGCTCAGCTTGTTGTTCCTCAGGTCACCATGAGCCAGCAGGACACCGAACAGGGAAAAGGCCAGAGTGCCTTGACGCCGTGTGCTCTGCTGCAAAGGGGGCAAGACGAATGTCAATGCAATTGTGAACTTTCCCACGTACATGAATGCAGCATAATAGATTTGGATAAAAAGACATCTAATGGGGAACCCCAAATTTGGATTAACGCCTTGACACCAACAGCGGTCTATCTCGCTAACATTTAGTCAACTGACAGTTTTGGGGGGGTTATTAGATAGAAATGAGCCTTTGATAAAAATGCAGCATGAGAAAAGCACTGCTGTCTTTGTTGGTGGCAGTGAGCTGGATCTGCCTCACCTCGTCCCGACCTAGTCCCTTCAGGTGGTCCAGGATCTGCCCGATCAGAGTTTCACACAGTTTGTTGATCTCTGATAGAAACTTGGGGTCTCCTCCATAAAGAGTCTCATTGGAGTCCACTGAGACCAGGAAAGAGGAAAAACAAATCAATTTAGCTGGAACAATGCTTCTTAGTCCCTCAGATGCAGAGCGGATTCAAACAGCCCTCATGCTGGGTCGCCAACTAATCATGTGTGAATAGAAGGAATATTTTCTCATGCCTCCCCATCATTAGATTTCCTTTATCTTTGCATTGTATTAGTGTCTACATTACATATGTTGTACATGACATTTTTAAAAATAATCAAAACTATAAATCTCAAAACAAACATGAGCAGTAATCTGGATTTGTGTAGCGGTGATATGTTTTCGACATTGTGTGTGTGCGCGCGTGACCGTACCTTTAGGGATGGAGTAGAGGTAGGTTTCCTGGCTCATGGCGGCCAGCAGTGGCAGAGCGCTGATGTAGACCCGCACCTTGGCGTCGCTGTTCTCCTCCCAGGTGTAATCCTGCACCATGTTGAGCAGACCGCGGACTAGGTAGAGCACGCCATGCTCTGGATGGTCCTGTACACACACGTTTGTTCATCTGTCCTTGTGGAGACATCTCATTGACATAATGCATTCCCTAGCCCCCTTAACCGAACCTTAATTTGAACCCTAAAACCAAGTCTTAACCCTTTAAAAAGCAGTCTCTACCTCAATTTTTGTCCCCACTGAGTCCTCATCGATTAGTGTGCATTTAGGTCCCCAACAGAATATGTAAACATGAAACATTTGTGCAACTATAAAGAAAGTTTCATGGAGATTAGCCTGTTGGTTTGGTACTTCATCTCCCTTGAACTCCCCACTGAGTCGTCTAAACAGAGAAATGCGGAGATGGAGGATTTCCCTCATCTTTCTGTTCTGAAAGGCTGAGAGGAGACGGATTGTGTTACCGGGACAACCAGCAGCGTAGACAGGAAGTTGTTGATGAAGTCCAGCAGGAAGCTCTCCGAAGAGCGAAGTTTCCCCTCCACACTGATGGAGCGGGGAACCTCTGGAAGAAGACTGACCGCTGCCTTTAGGAAAGCATCCGCTGGAGGTGTGGATGGAGAGAGGGAAAAGAGAGGGAGGAAGGAAGTAGTGGAGGCAACCAGGAAAAAATCAGGATGGGAGGTAACAGTCAAAGGAGAGAAAAAGGAAAGGGGAAAAGAGATAGGGAGAGAGAAAGAGAGGGAAGGAGCGAAAAAAGAAGATTAGGAGAAGAGATGAAAGGAAGGAAGAAATAAGGAAGGACAAAAGCAAGGGAAGAAGAGGAAAGGAGGGAGATGACAAAAAGTGTCATGAATTGCTGAAACAAAACAAAATTATTTTATCTAACACAAAATCCTGAACATGACCTGAATGTTACGTTTAAAATCTGAGTGGAAGCAGCTGCACTCACCCTGGGAGAGACACTGGTTTGCCAACGCAACCTGACCAGACAGCAGATAGAGGCTGAGACGGCTGAAGATGCTGCTGAGAGACGGGATGGTGATGAAACTGTAGGCCGCACACGCCTGGAGGACAGGGAAAGACAACAGTCCTTTAAATGGCTCTGACTGATTGATTAGCCCAAGTGTCAACGCTGGGCTCCTTTTCTTCCTGTTCCTCAGGCACCGAACATCTGAAACATCTTCCTGTAGGAGCGAACGGTGGCCTGCAGGGATCAGACGCCCGAGTGTGTCGACTCACCCTGACGAACGCTGCCGTTTTTCTGGAGTGACTGCCTCTCATCACCCTACTGGTCTCCATCGCCAGCTGGTTCACCGTCTGGAAACAACATTGTGAACGTTAAGGGTGGTGTGTGTGTGTGTGTGTGCGTGAATATCACCCACACACCAATTGAACTTACAAACACAGATTCATACTGACGTGAATGAGCTGCACGAGTACAGGCTCCAGGTTACAGAAGGTGGCTCGGGCCTCCACACAGAAACTCAACTGCTGCTCAAAGTCACGGCCAAAAGAAACCTGAACACAACATGGACAAACAGTATGAGTGGAAGAAGGGAGAAAAGAGTTATTTTACTCAGTGACTGTGTTTTACTAAATGTGCTCTTATGACATTTGGCATTTCATCGTAAGACTGAGAGATTTTGGTTGGGGTCAAATAAAGATTGAAAGAGAAGAATTAACTGCTGCAGTGGTTGAAAAAAAAAAAAATCTACATGTTCCTTCCCATCCCATAAATAAAAGAAATAAATCCCAAAATCGACAACGATCTTACTAACAGGTGTTATCTGCGTATCCAAAGCCTGATATAGATAGAGATACATTGTCCAAAACCTATTAAAAACATATCATTGACATACACTGGGTGGCATGTTCCTTCATTACCATAAACACTGTAGCTTAGGTATATTAATCCGCAGCTGAAAATAGTCCCTAACAAATACACAGTTTTCTCTTGCCTGAGTAACATTTCCTAAAAAACTACAGTTCCCAGCTGTTTTGGGGAACTTATTTAGCCAAAATGGGCAGAGAGCATGGAAGTCAGAAAGTTTTAAGGAGACGTGACCATAAGAAATTATACAATAACAACAGTCTTATTGTTAAAACCACAGACAAAAGTGTGATGAGTCTCACCATGCGGATGAAGCCAATGATCAGCAGAGCCAAAGATCTTTTCTCATCCTCAAGAGTGAGAGCGCTGCAAAACAGAGAGTAGACAGGTGACTGACCGAACACTGTTGCCCAGCAGATCAAAAGCCTGCAGGTGAAACATCTGTCCTGATTAACAATCTACATTACCTCAACTGAAACTATCAAAATCACTGACATGAACTAAAACGAAAAGGTAATTATCAGGTATAACACACACATTCAAACAAACACCCTACTTGACAGAGTCGTGCATGGTCTTGCAGATGTGCAACATGGCATTGAGGATGACCGGGTCTCTGGTGTGTTCCACCTGATGTCTGCAGGAGACAGATGAACAGATGAAGACAAATTAAAAGTCCAACATTTTTAAAAAACTTTTACTGAACACATTTGTGGGAATTATTTTATCACAAAGCGAATAAATCTCATTATTTCATTCACGAAACTCTGAGGCGGCTCTTACTTGATGAAGACCTCCATGATGGATCTGCAGACCTCCACCCTCACGCTGTCCTTCTGGAACATGTCTAGGAACGGCAGGAAACGCTCCTGGGAAACAAAAGAATTGGGGAAACTGTTGCATGATAAAGACCACTTGTCACTGATTATTTCAGCCCTCCAGAGTGCAATCGCCTTAGCATGTGCATTTTGAACTGGTGGTCGCTCACCATGGAGAAAAGGATGGAGAAGTCGTGGAAGTAGGTGAGGATCTTCCTGATGACTGACTGCAGCTGGATGCAGAAAAAAAGCAAAACAAGAGAAAGGAAAAATTGCTTTTTGTTCGAAGGGAACAGGGTGAGCTGTCCTGTTAGCCAATGAGCTGCTAACCTGAGGATAAGCGTCCTCAAACGCGCGGTCAGGGGTCATGTGTTTGATGATGTCAGCCAAAACGGTGTTAGCCTCACGCTTCTGAGAGCAAGAGAAAAAAGAAAAGATGGAGTAAATTCTACATGATAAAAAATATTACTCCTCCTCTCTCCTGCGCTCCACTCACTGTAAAGTGTCGGCAGGTGAACTCCACCCAGATCTCAGCACAGTTGATGTAATCCTAAAAAACACAATCACATATGAAGTCGGAGCTGGAATATTTCCACGTAAATAAACATCTGTGTTGAAGCAGCATTATCCTCACAGTACCTGTGGACTGCGGACTTTGGTGACGACTTTCCAGGCTTCATTGAGGATCGTCAGTCTCTCGGATTCTGGAGGGTCAGCACACGCAAGACTGCGACCCAGAGACCCAAACAACAGGTGCTGGAGAAGAGACCACAATCAGCCTTCAGTTCACATTTCAAGGAGATTTAGAAGAGGCTTTACTCTACACCTGAACAGTGCAATACATTTCAGTTTCCTAAACTCCAACATATTCCTGCTACAATGTGTTCATTGTATGTGTGTATGTTTACAGGATCTTCAGGATCATCATATTACAACGGTTCACGCCCTCTGACCTTTGGGAAGCCGGCCTCGTCGCAGTCTTTGATCATACTGATGAAGTCTGTGGCTCTGGCTGCAACAAACTCTGGCCTGAACGCCCTCATGACTGAATTCAGCAGCAAGGCGCTATGGGAAACAGGGACACGCTGGTTCTTTGTGGTCAAAAGGACATTCCCTGTTTTTCACCCCCACCAGAAACTACTGAAACACTGAGTAAAAGCTGTGGTAAACTTTTAGTCAGTACATTTCTAAGCATTTAGTTTTTCCTTGGTGGCGGTGTTAAACACAGTGGTTCCCAAACATTTTGATTTGTGACCCCTTAAAAATATCTACTGCCACAGGTTGTGACCAATACAATCAAACCTCATCTGAATAACTTGAAGAGATAGATCAAGTAATTCACAAAATAAAAAGAGCAAACATTAGATTAAAGTACAACAAAAAGTCATTTTGTGTGGTAGAAATGTGTTTTTCCCTGTTAATCATCTTGCAACCCTGGGAGGCGGCTGGGAACTACTGTGCTCCATAATATGATAAAGAGTTTTATATTCCTGTCCTGAGGATAATTAATAATGTACCTCTTGTAGCACTGTATCTTTAATCAACAGGAAAACATATTGTAGTTTTTAAAAGCACTCACTTGTTCCCCAGCTTCTTGCATCTCTCCATCATCTCTGTTAGCAGAGGCTGAAATGGAAGCACAAAACAGTCATTTTGACCAAAACCACTGAACTCTGACCATTTTTGCCAACATTCAATATCTTTCAGTTTAAAAAATTCAAGCTGATTAAGTTTGAAGTAAAGCGTGTGTGGATGCGTGCCTCTGGAGCTCTGTAGGCGATGCACTGCAGGATCCAGTTGATGGCGGGCGAATAAAGTGTCAGGTACTCGGGCATCTCCACCCTCTGCAGGACCAGCTGGTTCTGGACGCTCTCTCCGCTGACCTGCCGGAAGGTGCCCAGCAGGTCGAAGAAGTTGCGGTTCAGGCTGTCTTTCAGGTGGGGGGCGACTTCCATGCCCACCTGGAGGGAGAGAGCACCGTTATCTCTGGCCCCAGACCTACTCTTGTTCTTTAAAGAGGTGGTATTATGCTCATTTTCAGGTTCAAAATCCTATTTAGGGGTTGTACCAGAACAGGTTCACAAGATTTAATTTTCAAAAAACAACATATTTTTCATCATACTGCACATTGCTGCAGCTCCTCTTTTCACCCTGTGTTGAACGCTTCGTTTTAGCTTTGGAGTGATACATCTTGTCTCTAAATGTTCTTTGCTGGGAGTTGCACATGTGCAGTTCCTAGTTAAGGACTACTAGCCAATCAGAAGCAGAGAAGGGAGGGTCAGCGAAAGGCCGGTAAACAGCTTCGATTCAGCTGTAGGCTACATGTTGCCGACCAGGTTGGCAATTTGGACTGGAGCAAGAGTTTCAGAGCGGTGAGTTATTAATCTGTAACAAAAGTATCTTTCATACATAAAGTTTTACCTGAGCTCCGTCTCTACATCACAATAACAACTTTATGTCATTGACTGCTTGGAGGGTAGCTAGTGTTTGGAAGGGAGAGGAGAGGTGTGCTGCAGCTCAGTGTTTTTCCACCGGTGTTTTTGAGGGCGTGTCGGTCAGCGAGCATTATGACACGTATTTTCATTGTGACATCACAAGAAAGGGAAGTAAAGGCTGGACTACAAATGAGCTGTTTTCACGCAGAGCAGTGTTTTCTGTGGGAGATGGGAACTCCCTTTGGGCTTTTTCACTTTGCAAACCTGTTACATGCACAAAAAAAGATATATAACTCAATAAAGGAGAGGGGAAAAGCCAAAAACCATAATACCACCTCTTTAAGCAATCATAATAATGGTAAGAACCTAAGGTTTCTTAAATTTCACAAGAAAACTGAAATGTTGCTTTAATATACTGCATAAACAAAGCAATGAAAAGTGCAAAGAAATACGTTTCTGTTTTGATGGGTATAATTGAAGGAGAAGGGAAACATTCCTAAACAAGATTTTAAAACATCCTGTGGGGCAATTCAATTGTTCAAATGGCATCAAAAAAGACGCTGTTTTCATCTCATTGCCTGGCCCCAACATCACGGCAAAAGTAAGGACAGAAACAGAAACAACAATAGTTCAGAAAAAATGGAGACAGGAGAGAACAATGGTAAGAAGTGAGCACGTCTCACCCTGCAGAGGTAAGCTCTGGTATACGTCGCCACCAGGGGGTCTCCGATCCCTCTAATCATGGCTGTCAACCGAGGGAGCGTCTCCTGAATCCCGCTGTGGAGGGTGGACGGACAGAAAGCCAGAGAGAAAGCAAGCTGTGTTATTTGTCTAATGAAAACCTCTGAAGCAGAAAGTTATTTTCAAATAACCCAAAAATGTCATTCTGATTTAGAAGAGAAGATATTGCTTAACTAAGGCATTGGACCAAAGGCAGAATATTTTTAAAAGCTACATTTACAATGTAGACAATTGCAGAGCAACGGCTGACTGATAAAGCCCACAAGGGAAGAGGACAGTTAAAAAACTTACGATTTGGTCAGGAAGCGGTTGCACTTGAGAATGGCAGCCTCAACGTATCTGTCCAGAGGTCAAAGAGTCACATTTTTACATGAGGTACGGAGTGTGCTTTAGATGGTCAGGGATTTATTGGCGACAGCCTTAAACGAGTGTGTATCATTTCAAAACCAGGTCCAGTACAGTATTTGACAAACAAATTGTATGATTGTAGAAAATCCGATAGAGTTAACAGAAAGAGGGATCAAAAGGCTGGATGAAGAGCTGTTTCTATGTTTGATGATGGTGTTCAAGGATACAGTCTGGGCAGAAGCTCTCGGATGGAGGCGATCTTAAAGAACCAGTTGAGGCACGTCTCCTTGGCCGTGTCATTCACATCTTCAACTGTGAACGAGTCTGAGCAGAGAGGAAACAACAGCGGACACATCAGACACGAGCCAGAGACACAAACAATACATCCATCAAGTGTCCCAGGCTCAAATGAAGAACGACATGAGAAAGTAACGGTCCGCACCTGGTAGGGGTCGAGGGTCTGAACACATGGTCCAGATTCTATCGTACACCAGCCGGCCTACAAACAAACAAGTGAGACTGCAGTCAGAACCTGCATCGTGTTTTTACTGAACTAAGAGAAACGAGGCTCCTTTAACGCACCGAAAGTGTCGAGGATATCGGTGATGAGAACAAACTTGCTGGGGTAGAACTGGATCACAGAGGTGTCGGACAGGAGCTTAGAGCACTGGAACAAAGAACAGTGCTCATGTTCTCACACGGCAGACAAGCGTTTTCCCCCCTCCATCTTGGGATGAGTGTTTTCAACTGCTGGGTTACCTGGATGACGATCTTCAGGGCTTTGACCTTCTGGTCAGACGCCCAGGCCTCCTTCAGGGACTGGTTCAGCTCCTCGATGCGGTTGGCGTAATCCTGCTGGGAGAGGTTCAGCAGCTCTCTCTGGGAACCCTGCACACAAACACAGACAGACATCATTCAGCTCATTTTGCTCTGAAAATGATGTTCACTTCAATGAAAATCCATTGTGTTAATTATTTTTGCAGCTTATCAAATGGATGTACCTTCAATGTATGTGCAGTATGTTTATGCATACAAAAGCCAATTTAATTCTTACTGTATCAGGTGCGCAGATGTGTTTAAATGAACGGAAATGAACCTGTAACCCCTAAACTCGACCCATTCAGACACATACAAGCCTGACGTACCTCCTCCAGATCATCCAGCTCCTCCAGGCGAGTACGAACTTTCTCTGAAACAGCTGAGGATCCTGGACTTGGTGCTTTTCCTACAGCGACAACAGGAGTGATTAGTTAGCTTTTGACTAAAGTAAAACACACACAACCTCCTGTATGGTTTTTATATATTACCTAAAGTTGATTATTTTTGCCACTTGGCTGCAAAACGGCCTGTTTAACATTAACATATATCATCACTTTATAAAACTGATATGGTTAACATGTTAGCAGTTGTCTTTTAACACAATATTTGTTCTACTTTTATCTCCGGTTTAGCCTCTGTGTTTCCCAGCTAGTCACTAACTTAGTCTGCTGTTTGGCGCAAAGCAGTTAACCTCTAGTCTCTAGGTTTGGCACTACAAGCGACCCCTTTCACATCAGCACAGTCATTTGATCCACTCTTAATACATATATATATTGATTATAGGAGCTTTAATTTTTTTCTCCCAAGGGTACAGATATAGCCCCAAATAATCATAATGATACAACCCATTTTATTATGAATACAAATACAGGTCTTACCTCTATCAGAACCCATGAAAAGATTCTATGAAGACAAAGATATTGGAGTTAGGTTTCTGTCTTACAAACTCAGCCTGTGTGCACAACACTGATTAAACCAACTTCTTTACTTTAGTTTATAGTAACAGAACAACTTGGTTCTTGCTGTTAAGATGGAGGACGACTCACAATTGAGAGTTTTTCGTTGGTGGTGAACCTGGCAAGGATTTCTCCTCGTTTTGCCGACCACGGCTCAAAGTCTGGTCCCACCGCCTCTTCCTCCTTCTCCTTCTTCTTCCTCCCCAGGTCCTGGAAGCACAACATTTCTCCTTTAAAAAAATGTTTGGCAATCATTTTCTCTCAGGGTACAAAATCTCCAAACAGAACTGCATTCGTCTAATTATCAAGAAGTCTGTCTACAGTGTGAACTGACCCCTGTGGAGGCGCTGTGTGACATGGCAGGAGTGTCACCGGCCGAGGCTGCGGCAAACATGGAGAGGGGGTCGGTACCATCTATCATGGAGCTGAGGGGATCCGGGGGCACTGAGGAGGAGGAGGAGGAAGACGAGGACGTGCTGCCTTTACGAGTCCCGCGGCGGGTCTTTGTATCGGTCACCTGGGTGAAGAGGAGAGGTGACTATCAGTGCTGAAAAAGGGACATCAAAGCCGTCATCTAAGAAACACCTGAATTGTGCTTTTCACAACATCAATGGCTTATTTTCATTTCTGTCAAATAACATGATAGATTGTGTTTAACTGTGCTGATGAAGGGACTGCTGCAAATGCTGTGATGTTGCAAAATTTTTTCTGAATGCATGTGTGCAGAGCTGATAGTGGTGTGTTTGTGACAAGGCTAAACAGTAGGAAGACAGTGATAACTGCAGATGGTCTACCATGATGGGTTTGAGGGGATGGTAGTCTCCAAACTCAACCAGAGCGGCTTCAGGACGATATTTCTGCAGCTCTGCCTCATAGTTGCGCCCGCAGGAACGCCTTGTCGAAAAACCAGGCAGACAGGAGACCAGACCAGGTTGAGCTTTCAGTCGCAATGTGTGGGGAGCTTCCACTGATTAACTGATTTAGTGGGCTGTTTATTTATGTAGTTACCACAATTGATGCTAACAATCTATATGTTTCATTTGCCCTGCTTCTGTCTTTGAGAAAGCACTGACAAAATCCAATTTGGATCTGAGATCTTGCCTTAAACACACAGATGAAGGTCTGTGCAAAAGACACCCAAATATAATCTTGGGTGTTATTATTACTCTAAGGAAGGAAAGATTACCAAAATACTTTCCACACTGGGCCTTTTTCTATCAAACAGCATCAGGAAACTGGAACAACAGATCTTTTGTATGTTAAAAACAAACAAGACAAACTGAGAGTACATCATCACAAAACTAAATCTAAATCACAAATCATCACACATTTACATGTAAACTAACTGAATATGAGAATGCTACAAAACCTGTGTAATAACTATAACTCATCCCCGTATGCTTTGCTAGATTACAACCAAGCTACAGTCAAAGAGGGCACTGATTGAGGCCATAGCACATAATAACACTTGGTAATGCTACATTTGACTGGTAATGTTATGTTGAAAAGCAGCTAAAGAAAGTTGACATTTCCTTTGAGACGCTAGATTATAATTAGGCTCGCGACACACGTTTTTGCACAACGTGCACGTTCTCAAAATTCGCACAATATCAACACATACACGATTCAACCGATTTATTTTGATGATACGGGGTGTTTCTAAATGATAAAAGAGCATCTTACCACTGTACCGCAGCCATTTTTCTACAATCATGTGACACCTCAGTACTTCCTGGTTATGCCAGATTTTGGGAAGGCGCTGTTTTTGGTTTCAGATGATCCGTTTGTTAAATATGTATTGTTATCATCGTAAGGACTGAACCTGTAAATGCGTAATATTACGTTGTTTAAAAATTTGTAACAATGACAGCGTAAATTGAGTGACAATTAATGAATTGTTGCAGCAAAATACAACTTCATTTCCCAGGACACATTGCGCGCTCTTAAGCGAGCTACAACCAAAGAGAAACAAAGAAGAGGTCCCACTTTGGACATATTTTTTGGGCGCTGAAGCTTTTTAGAGAAACTTTGCGTTGTATAAAGGGCTACTTGGAGCAAATCAACCAAACTGATTTACCCTTGGGGGAACACTAAATAAGTTGACCGCCACTGCTACATCTGACATCTGAATAAAAAAAATACCTTTTGTAGCAGACCGGAAGACGTGTTTGTTTTTGTTTTCAGTTGAACGAAACCTCTGTTCAATAGACAATCTTGGTGAGCACTGCCGCCCTGTGATACCTAGCTAACAGTTTAGCCTGACCATGATCTGACTGTAGAGCTACAGGTTTGTCCGCCCAGTTCACCTGACCAGGTACAGTACATGTCAATGTCAAGTTTGGTCCGAGTTGGTGTTCTGTAGTTGTTGAAAATAATTCAGTTATAACATGGGCCGGTTGAAGGGGGCTGGAGGCAGCTAGCAGGTGCCCCTTAGCTAACGTTTGAGCATGACAACTAATGCATCTACTGGCTGACAAGATTAACAGATATTTAATTGGTTATAATACAAAATAATGACCAAGTTTTGTGTTTATTTCACTCACTGTAATGTGGTCTTGTAGACTGGGAAAATTAATGATTTAAGATGTGTGTACACACATTTTACATCATTAACAGTGTTCCAAACAATAGTTATTTTATTATCAATTAATCCTTAGGTAATTGTCTCTATTCAACAATTAATAATTTAGAAAGTCTATAAAATGTCAGAAAATAGTGAAAAATACACATATAACTTCCCGAAGCTGGAGGTGACGTCCTCAGATGTCTGGATTTGTTGTAGATATTCAGTTAATGATAGAAACAGATTTACTTTGGGTCCAAACTCCACTCTTGAAACCAGGTTCGTACCAACAGTGCAACCCTGTAATGTAATAAATCCAGTGGAACAGTTTCCATCTTTGTTTATGCCCCATTTCAACTAATATACACTAAGTATATAAATTATGCTGTGAGGGCAGTTAGTCTGAACTCACATCCAGAGGAGTTACTTTATTAATACTTTCAGAAATTAATTATAAGAGAAAGAAAATGCAACAGAACAGCAGATGTGGTCGGTGTCCATATGATGATTAACATCTGCTGTACACAATCTCAAAAATAGTAACAAATTGCACCATAAGTACCAGTCTGTCTTCAGACTGTTTTCTAATAAAACTCACCAACAGCCAAGTAAGAGATAAGCATGTACATTGTAGTTGACTTATATGCATGTTTGAAAAAAATGATACATGTAAAATAGATCTGCAGTCTCGTCTCATCACCAGCTATGGGATAGATATTATTGTGTATAGTTCCACTGAAAGAGATGAAAAGATAATTGATCATATTGAACCAGCCGCTCGTCCAAAAGTGAAAATCAACAGACACATTTTCCTGCTCTTCCACTCAGAGAGACTGAGACAGCAGGACCAAGTAAAGCTTATTACAGTGACACACACAGGCAGTGATCTGCCTATCTTCTAAGACCAGATTTAGGACCAGATTTAGATAGAGACAGTGGTGCCCTGCCTGTGTGCCACACTTATGCAACGAGCCGAGGTGATGTGTCAGAGCGTGGCACATTTTTCATATTTACTTCCTCTCACATCATGATATTGATTTCAGCCATTTACAACCTCATTGTAATGTGTTTAATTCAGCCTCTAACTCCCTCCAGAAATGTAGTTAGTTTTTATTTTCTCCGGATGAACAGCTCCCTTCATGATATCGCAAATTAAAATACAGTACAGTGGAAAAGTCTTGTTTGTATGGAAGCCCATTTCTGCAAGCAAAAATAATTTTAAAAAGACATGTTTGGAATGATAACAATAAAAATATTGTACATAGCTAGGTCCTAGGAGGTTTCAGGAAGCCAGTGGAGTGCTTTGAGGATGGGGGTGATGTGGTCGTGTTTGCGCACCTTCAACAGGATCCTAGCAGGGCTGTTCTAGATGTACCGCAGTTCCTGAATGCTTTTCTCAGGGATTCCGGTGAGGAGCGCATTGCGGTATTCCAGCCTGGAGGAGACAAAAGCGTGGACAAGCTTTTTGGCATCTGTAAGAGTGAGTGTGGGAAGAAGTTTGGCGATGTTCCTGAGGTGGAAGAATGAGGTCTTGCAAAGATGTTTGATGTGAGCCTAAAGGTCAGATGAGCCACACCCAGGTTGGTGGCTGATGTTGAAAGTGGTATATCTTGGCCAGAGAAGGTGATGCTGGTAATGTCAGATGACCGAACCTGGTGTGGAGTGCCGACTAAGATGGCTTCAGTCTTTGAGCAGTTTAGCTGCAGAAAGTTTTGCTTCATCCATGTCTTGGCCTCCTCCAGGCATGTGGTCAGAGTAGATGATGGCAGGGCATCAGATGGGGTTGGGTTTGTCCTGAGGTAGAGTTGAGTGTCATCAGCATAGCAGTGGAATGAAATTCCATGCCGGCTGATGACATGACCAAGGGGGAGCATGTAGAGAATAAAGAGGGTGGGGCCAAGCACTGAGCCTTGAGGGACACCATGGGTGACATTATTTGTCAGGGATTTAGCCTCTCCCAAGGCGACATGCTCAGTTCCCGGTGAGGTAGGATAAGACCCACTCATGGACAGAGTCATGACTGGACTGCACTAATGGCTTATGTTAATGTACATCTAGCTTGACATTTTGATTTCTTTCTTCATTCTAGCTTCCTTTGTCTATTTTTATTTTCTGTTCTTAACCAACATTTCTTTTATATCTGGTTCTAAATGCCTGTGCTATTTCTTTCCTAGCGCAGCTGGAACTTTTAAATTTGCCCTTTGGGGAGGTGGGGGTAAATAAAAGGCTCATCTTAAAATACATTAACTTAGCTTTGTGTTTTTCATGGTATAATCAAGGTAAATTATTAAGTGCTTCATTCAAAGACAAAGTCATTAGTTCATTTGGCATTCACAGTATGCCTGATACTCTTGGCAATCTTCCTCGTCTTAAATATTGTAAAACACAAACTCGAATAGCTCTGAGATGGATTCCCTCTCTTGTTCGTTCAGGTCCTCACTTATGTCCTCAGCCCAGAGCTTTCCATACAGCTGTGCAGCCTCTGCCAGTTCCTCTTCCCCCATCTTCAGAGCATCGGAGAATACCACCGTGGGTGAAAACACATGCTGCTTTGCTTTAACCCATTCTGCTGCCTTTTTGCTTTCATGTACTGTACATGTCAATCCTATGAAAAGAGAGGAAAAAGTTGTCTTCCTATAGCATAATTGCTATCATATTATTTTTATTATCATCATAACCTCTATTTACATAATATATAATATTCTCACAGAGGAGCCCTGCAGGCAGACCCCTCTCACTTTCTCGGCCCTGTCACAGACACATCTAACCAATGAGCGGAGTGAATGTTCTCACGTGGCTTTTAGTCATGCATTTTGGTTTGCTTGAGTTTGTTTCTGTGTGAAAAATAACGAAACAAATGGAAAAACGCAAAAACTTCAACTCATCCACTAATTCAGACCAGAGCAAACACACTACATAATTTTGACTTACTATGTCACGAATTGAACTACTGTCTCACACAGAGCTGAAACGGTCAGTCCCAGAAAATCAACTATTAATTATGATAATTGTTTTACTTTTCAAGCACATATGACAAAAATTACCATCTGCAGCTTCTAGCGTAAGGACTTCCTTAAGTTTTTATCCGTCTTCTTTTCCTGGTGAAAAGGGGCATCCATACATTTATAATAAGTAATAATTACACTAATGTCAGTAATGTGATCATGATTTATTAATATTGCATGTAGCACCTCTTAATAAAGATTGAATGGAAAACCTCTCATTGGCATCATGTGTGACCTTAAACAGGTGGGACGGGTGTCACATTTGCAGTGTGTCTTAAACAGGTTTTCACTAGATCACTTATTGCACTTACAGGTTTTTTTTTAGTGCGCATGTGCAAAATGGTAACATTTTGCAGTGGTCATTAGCAGCTGATGGCAAAGAAAGAGAACAGATTGTTGCCAGTCCTTGCTGTTACTGTCTACTAAAGGTTAGCATCTCTCATTATTAATGCCGTTCTATTTTGGAGAACCCGAACAAGCCTTATCTGTGAAACCAATACTCACTTTCATGAAATGATGCCCCGGATCAGGTAGCCACTTTATTACCTCAGTAAGACATTCATCCCTTAGCATTTCCCTCCCTATAGGGTTACCACTCGCATCTCCTCTGCAAGTTCCTAAGAGGTTTTTGGCTTGGAGTTCCGGATTTGCTGTGAATTATTAACAGGAGAAGTTGCGTGTCACACGGAGGACGCTGTTGCCAAACTTGAATGACTAGTGCTTTCTAGGAACGGGAGCACTTTCTACTGTCTCTGCTCTTGTATCTTCTTGTTAGTTAACTTTTTAAATGCGGCAGGAGCTTTCACAACTGTGACAAAGATGACAATGGAAACCTCGGCTGCCATCCAGCTACGCTACGAAGAGCTGCTCTTCTACGCGGCCTGCGTTTGTAACTGTTGGTCCGTGTGTCTGTGTGTTTGTGTGTGTCTGGAAGGCAGAGTGTGCAGTAGAGGAGGTGGAGGTGGCATGCGTTCGGGCAGCAGCTGGAGGTGGCAGCTCTCCCGGGCTATGCGACTGGCGCTGCGCTGGTGCCGGCTTCGGAGGCCGCAGAAAGGAGTACGAGGTGGGGAAACCAAGCCGTGGATCAGCGGCAGGCTTTTGGAGCTGTGGATCTACAGCAAGCTGCTGCTCAAGTCACTGTACTTCAACAGCCTCAGCAACTCGGACACCTTGCTGGACTGTGCGTTTGAACCTGTCTACTGGATTGTGGACAATGTGACGCGCTGGT